CAGAAAATGTACTGCAGGGGGTCGAACGGGAGGGAGTATCCGCAGTGATCATCGACCGTCTTCATGGTCGAAAATGTGAAGAAAAACACGCCACCACGCACTTTCAAACCAGACATCTTGAAAGCAATACCGGCACCGAGTGTGTCCATCAGAAGACCCTCGAATGGATGGTTGTAGAGCGCACCAAACGCGTAAGGCACATAAAGGCGGTGGTGTCGTGAGTGGAATGTTTCTAATTCCAAATTAGTTTCAAACGAAACGAGGCAGATCGACGATAAAAAGCTAATAAAGGGTGCAACTCACTGTAGAGCCATTTCGACTCGTGCATGAGCCTGTGCAAGAAATATTGCCATGTGTCGAGGACAAAGATGGCAAACCACATGCGGGCAGCAGGGAAGATGTACCAGTACGCGATCTCGACAAGTTTGTATCTCCAATTCCCGTTATCTGTCGGCTCCAGTCCCATAAATTGTACCGCGCCTTCCAAGAGATTGTCCCCTCCGATAGCTGTGATCCCCGCAATAACCTTCTGCTCCAATCCGGCTGTGTTGATTCCGACCATCTGGAGAACACCAGTAACCCATCGCTCTGTTTGCAAGAACTTTGAGTACAAGTTCAAGATCTCCCACCACTCGCCTCCCCTCATTTCAATTCCTTCAGACAAGCTGATTACCCAGCCAACAACTGATTGGATAATCTGCTGTAATATCACATCTCGCATGACCTCGCCTCGGGATACATGATTCCGTTTCAGTACCTCTGCGGGTGTGTGTAATCGGTATTTGGAAAGGAGGTCATAGGAGTCCATAAAATGAAAGATCATGGACAAACACCAGTAGGCGACTACTGGGGAGACGAGTAGTAGGACCGCATCCGTGATTGGAGGTATCAGCGGAGGAAGTGGTGTGAGTGTTGAAAGCGGAGGAGGAGGGGGGAGAATTGGGGGATTTATTATTGTTGCGTTCATTGAAAAGGTTGTTGTGACGCCACTGACGCCGTATGTTTATTGTAACTGGGCTGGAGTTTTTATGGTAGCGATCCTAATGATACTGGCAAAGCGATGGTTCCTGAGCTGGTGAGTGGTTGGGGGTTGGTTGACAGATCTGGTGGAGGCGGCAACGCAAGGCAAAGAAGGAACAGAGTTGTATTTATGCAGAGGGATTTTGGGGGGGGAGGGGGAGAGGGTGGTGTGGGATGTTGTATGTGGTACTTTAGTAGCAATACTGGTATTGAATTATGTATGTAGTAGGTATTTATGTAGATTCCCAAAGTACGGATCGGAATTGAGGTAGTTGTGGAGTGTTGTATGGGAGAATTCGAGTGCGAAAGTGGATGTCAGGATTGGGGTCGGAGTTGCAATGAGAGGGAGAGTGAGAGAGGCCGTGCTGGGTAGAAAAAGGAAACCTATTCAAGCTGGCTCAACGACAGAGTTTCTTGTCCTCCGGTAATACGAGAAGGAGAGGAAGTCGCGTGAGAGTGGCGACAACAAGAGGTGAGGTGAACGAAAGATGGGAGTTTGGGAGATTGCATCCGTCGTGGAAAGTCGACGAGGTGGGTGAGAGAGAGTGAGTGAGCCTGCAGCCGCCCATTCCATTCACACTCACACTTTCCCCCCAAACGCCCGACTAACTTACATATCACCCATCCCTCCACCGGATTTGCAACATCCGCCCCCGGTTGTCTGATCATCCGATAACAGAGTCAATGGTTTGAAAGTGTGAATAACCACATGTGAACATACATGTTGTAGGCGCATCCTCCCCTGAGAAAATTTTATAAGCTTACTTAAAATCTGGTTTCAATCCTTCACAAGGTCTCTTTCAGGCCTTGCCAGTGAAGCTTGTCTGTTCTCCCCCCCTCCCCCAAGATCAATCCCGCTCCCAGCTACATAACTCATGTCTTCCCACCCTTCTCAATAATTGACTGCGCTCTGCGCCGTCGCGCTCCGTTTCAATCTCAATTTGCAGTTGCGCCTAGGTTGCCCGGCCTTTCCGGGACCCCCGTCAAGACTCAAAAGGGCCTCGAACACCTGGTAGGGGGGTGGTTGCAGAAAAAAACCGTGATTCTAGGCATTCTTGACCCGCTTGCTAAGCCTTAACTCCAGGTACACAAATGTACCGGTACCTAGCTGACGTCACCAGTCACCACACACCGTTACAGCTTGAGTCACCCATATTTTTACACAACACCTGTAATCTCGCCAAGAAGCATCACGGTTTCAAGCTCGAGCCTTGGGACCTACAAGGTACAGCATATTATTACATCCGGCACATCTTCGTGACCTCTTCTGACGCCAGACGAATCTGACCTGCCAAAGAAAACCCTCAGGAAGCTTTGCTTCTAGCCTCTCGGGGTTCGAGATCCGCGTTCAAGGCGCTTTATGCATTCGGTATTCAACCCGATTCAGTCCCAGCCCATGGGAAATAGGTAAGCTACAGACAATACCGTGGGTATCTTACCTACAACTCCTTGATGGAAAGGCTCTCCTTGGTCGTCGCTCCGGGAATACACCGAGAACATCTTACATGGCCGATCCTCAAAATCGTGGAGTGGAAAGCAATGGATATCGATTTCGGTACCAGCATCCCCTCTTCACATCCAAGTATCAGCTCGACACGTAACCGGATACAGTCTGGTGCGGCTAATACTCGAGCGCCCAGTCAACAATTACTTATCATACGTGTTGAACGCGAAACAACGGTACTGGGGGTATCAGGGTAGGACCGTGTCGAAAGGTCGCCGACGGCATTCATCGGGGAAAAACAAAATGAATCGTCGTGGGTGACGTCGGGCAACCGACAAAAAATAAGTAAAAATAAAAAAAATAAAACAACGCAAACGCACTTTCTGCTCGCTATGCTCGAGTCCGGTTGGACCCCGTCAAAAGTACGCGGCCTCCGACATTCCCGGATCCGTTCGGCTTCCCGCCTTCCGTGCGCTATACATAAATATCAACCCCCGCCGAAAAACTCCGTTTTTCTCTGCGGCATTTTCAATATGCCATCCGGCCATGGCGTAAACTGTGCACTCGTATCGCATTTTCGAAGAACGGACAATGTGCATTTGCGGGAATGTAGGAATTACCGCAAACCTGGGGTAATATGCAGTCATGGGACTATGTACGGATGTTAATCAGTCGGCGGAGTCATCTACATAGGTATGTAATCAAAAAATACGAAATGGTAGGGCGGAGGGTGGAGTGCCAGTTCCAGTTCCAGTGTTTCGTGTTTACCACACTCCTTAATCTATCCGTCAAAAATAAAATAAAAACCATTCTCTGATCTTGTACATATCGCTTATGTAGTATATATTATGAGAGAGAGTACTGATACTCCGGTCTGTATGCAACGTTACTCCAAATAACTCTACTCTACGCGAGTATGAAATACTCGGTACCTCAGCAGACAAAGTTTATGCGTGTGACGAGAGAGGGGGGCGATGACAGAAGCTTAAGTATCGATAACGTTTGTGTCCAGCGTTTCGGTTTGACATCTCCGAATATAAAGTACACGCACCTAGCTACCCTAATTTGGCACCCTTGGATGTGCATACACCTAAAGCGTTGTTGACCTTTGAGGTGTATGTCTAAAGGAACCTCTGCTTCGTGCCTACTGTAGCTGCGATTTGACTACCGGTACTAAGAACCCAAGTATCGCACTAGGTAGAAATTGCGCCTCTCTTGCGGTCCAGCTTCACATGCGGTCACTCAGCCCCCAGTGAATTTCTCCTTCGTTGGTGTATTTGTAATCGATCTACCCAGTCTAGTAAAACTTTTACCGATGTCAAAGTCAATTAAAGTTACGCCGAGGTCCGATGCTAGCGAGCCGTGCCCTAAGTTCGATAAATATATCATGACTAAGAAGTGCCCTAGAAGGAGAAAAATTTCCGGAGAGAAATGCCGGAAATGACCAAATTGACAACTTCTAATATCCTAGTGAACTTCACGCCCTCAAAAAGGCTGGGTTTAATGGAATGACTTGAACCACTTCGTGTCCGGGTTTAAATGCCATAGTAGTACTCCATAGAGTGTGATTCTTCCAAATAGTAGGTAATGCTCATCCATAGGGTTATCATCCAACACAAGGTTGAATAGTTAAATAGCGGATCCAGAATAGAAGATGCTTCTTATCGCTAAACCGATAAGCTTTACTGCAACAAAAGTTCGCATGAATTGGATCCCCAAGATTTCTTCGAAGCCCGTACAAACCAACATAAGTTACTACTAGCCCGTCACAAAGAGTGCATGGGTTGTCCAAGAAGGTTTCCTTGCCGATATTTCCTTGACCAATCTGAAATTATCGACCAAAAAGTGATCCCCAGGCTTCGAGATTTGGACCTCGTTGTCACTCTAGAAATGTGCTAGACCTTGACCAAACCAATTTATTAGGGATGTAAGATACACGTGTAATCGTGCATATATCGTATGTAGGTAAATTGGGAATTAACTGTTATCACCCAGCGCTCATAGAGTTTCGTTGCTCCACGAGGTAGATTAGACAAACCCTAACCCACCAACGCAAGTGATCGAGAATCGAAACTGGGCTGCAGCTGAATGAAGCTACTAATCTAGCCTGGGCCAAGAACGTGAAGAGATCCACGTGTTGGCATCTTATTTTCAGCAAGCTGTGGCGGTTGACGGCGAGTCCAGGGATGCCCAAACGGTGCGAATATCGAAATCCTTCATTGGCTCATCAACTGTCAGATAACTGTCGGTAGAGAAGATGTGTTGGTTGACAGTTTTGTTTCAAGATGTGAAGTTAGAGAAAGGAAACGTCTGAGATCTGATACTCTACTGAGGTGTTGGTCTGCGCCAAGCGTCCTGATCTTGCCCGATATAGCAGTCCGCTGCCAAGAATTGTGCTAATCGAATTAAGCTCGCACAAAAAAGTTGCCCCTCCCCCACCTCAACCCTTATTTTCACCATCGCCCGCTCCACCTCTCTTCCTTGTTCCATTCTCTACGGCCTTTTTCAATCCACGAAATAAACAAAACCAGAAAAAATGATCATTTACAAGGTTAGTGATATTAATGTTTCTTAATTAAAACATATCTTCTCATGGCCTTTTTTTTTGTATATGATGCGGGGTCAATACAAGAGGTGGGGTAAATCTGGATTAAGGGGATAGTCCTGGAATATCGAATCTCCGGATAGATATTGCTATCATACTTGGCTTTATGAGTTACCAAAGGTCCTTTCAACGGTTGCTGACCTCCTCATGTAGGACATTATCTCCGGCGACGAGATGATCTCGGACGCTTTCGATATGAAGGAGGTGGACGACATTGTTTATGAAGTGAACTGCACCATGGTCACAATCAAGAAGGGTGCCGATGTTGGTATGTTACAAATCATGTTTCCCGAATACTCTTCCCCGATGCTAACATTATGAACATAGATATCGGTGCCAACGCTTCTGCTGAGGAAGCTGCGGATGATCTTGAGGAAGGCAGTGAGACTGTCAACAATGTTTGCCATTCTTTCCGTCTCCAATCAACTAGCTTTGACAAGAAGACCTACCTCACCCACCTTAAGAGTTCGTGATGTATATTTCTCCAGGCTGCATTTCAATTGAGCTAATTCTGTTTTATTTAATAGCATACATGAAGACTGTCAAGGCCAAGCTCGTCGAGAAAGGCGCCCCTGCTGAGGAAGTTTCCTGTTTCGAGAAGGGTGCCCAGGCATTTGCCAAGAAGATTGTTGCCAACTTCAAGGACTACGAGTTCCTTATTGGTGAGAGCATGGACATCAACGGAATGTATGTTATCAATTTTCTTTCTTGCCTTGATACGTTCTGCAATGAACAAGCCTGCTGACGTAAAAACAGGGTCGCTCTTCTTAACTACCGAGAGGACGGATCTACTCCTTTCATTACTTTCTGGAAGCACGGAATGGTGGAGGAGAAGGTTTAAATTGCGCTGCTATATTTTATTTTTCTGGCAGGAACATATTACCAATCTTGTGTAATTCGGAGTTGGATCAAAAAAAAAAAAGATTTCACAAACTTCATTGAATAAATCGCTGTATATGTGGAGTCGCGAAATCCACTCCATCGATAATACACTAGTGAAGTATTAGTGGTTCAAGTTTCTTGCCGGATAGTTGGGCCAAAAGCCCAACTAGGATTTTAATAGGATACTACCAAGTAGTGTAGTTGACATGGAGATACGCTACTTTTACTGGTACTCTCAGATACATAGATGTAGTCACTATCTATGTACTTGGATGAGTAAGGGATCTTATAGTATAAGCACTTCCTTTATGCCCTTATCTCTCATGGTTATATAATATCCTCCCAGGGCATAAGAAGGCTGTTTTCTTATAGGCCAATAGGTTCTTGCATTCTACCAAGCATTCTCCTCTGACCTTCACCTCTTAACGCCAGAAAAAAGCGAGTGATAATCCACGACAAAAGTTTCCTTATGCACAAACAAGGCTCAGAATGATGAAACGTCTATATTTACGAGAGGGTCATATCTATGAAACATCACTGGATCATATATGACCTTATATATGATGTTGGTGTTTTATCACCTGCGTGCTCGTGATAGAAACAGGACTATAAGACACGTATTTGTGGCTCTAATTATGGACATAATCATGAATCGAGAGAATGGGATATTTCACATATGCATACTATTTAAAGGAATGGGTTTTCAATGCTCAATGGATCAAGACGAATCCCTGTCTGGAATACGAGTTAATAGTGCATGAAAGACATGGAGGGCATCCGTTTTATTGCCTTATATTCGACCATACAGATTCGATTCTAGTCCTCATATGCTTCCTAATTCTCCAGGCTTCCATAATCGTCAGACAGTTGTTCTGCCTCCGCGCCCATAGTATCGCCAAGTTCCATTGCCTTATCCTCCGCGGGCTGCTTTTTGATAAGCCCGCATTTGAGACTCCTAAGGGTATGGGCGTTTATCTCGGACCTTTCCCGGACCTCACATAACACTCCCCCCCCCAAAGAGAACAGCCAACGATCAAGCCATTCAACCAGCCTCCCCCCCGTCTTTCTCTTCGAAAAGCTCGACGTTCTAAGAGCTTCCAACGCCTCTTTGTTCCCAGAAATAGCCGCTAAAATACACGCATCACATTTTTTTTCTTGAAAACAAACTGGCCCAGACTCAAGGGGGGCCTTTATGACGGGGAATATCTTAAGGTAATCAGATGGCGTAGTCCAATAAGCGTTGATTTTCTTCAGAGAAGTGACCAGAGATTCCGCAACAGGATGCTGGAGTGGTACGAGGATATTGAATTGCGGCCCGGTGACCTCGCGGCGGACCTTGTGGAGAATCGAGCTGATGATGTAGGTGTGGAGAGTCTCATGAAGTTTGCAGTACCCCTTCGGATGCGTTATCGACATGAGCTTCTTCAACCCTTTTTGCTTCTGTAGTAAATGATCTGGCAATAATGCAATTTTCTTTTTTTCGTTCAAGCCATGGGTGGTGTCGGTCGTTCCAAGCCCAGCAAGTCCAGGATTAGTGGTGTGTTCTCCCCATATTGTGCTTGGTGGACGATGGAGAGCGGCGGCGAAGGCGTCTTTGTCTTCTATGGAAAGACATGCCAGTGATGTAATCTTCTTGATGTTAGGACTCATTGCAGATTCTCAACTATTTCTGCCTGCTATGTGCGTAATGTAGTTTTGTTGGTATTGAATTATCGTGGTACATGGCTGTCGAGGTTTTTATATAAAGGTGCACCTAAAGAAACTAGCCGGGTTGAAAGACGCCGTAGTTCGTGCTAGCAGGATCTGTAGATTTCACTCATTCAAAGGCCTTACTTGAATTCGGATAAATCGAAATTTCAACCAGATTAAATTGAACTGTTCCTGACTTTTATGCTTGAAAAAGACCCAAGCCATGATCGAGAAATCGTCATAAGTATCCTGTATTGTCATACGTTAATAAACATCAAGAATTTGAAAGACTAGCCTTTTAGTTTTGGGGAATCAATTTTAAGAGGATTTATGATCACCCGAAACCAAGGCTGTTCATGATCTGTAGAACTGCGCGTGGCCACGTGCACCGGATTGAAACCTCTTGGGCAGAAAACTGGAGCAATATGTAGGAGCTTGGATGCCATTAGTGCGGAAGGGTAGTGGCAAACGAGATTACCTCGTCAACGGAAAAGTGGTCATTTAGTTCAATATATATATGTTAGCTGTCGAATAATTTCGATTAGTACGGAGAGGTAATGGATGAATGAGATACCTTTTTCTAAAATGAATCTTGACACTACTGCATGGATTACTTCCCGTACCTCGTGGACATTTTAATTCGGTTTTTTTTAATATTCAATCTGATACTTAATTCGGCATTATTATGTACAATACTTACAAGATAGGTAAACAGTTCTACGCCGGGGATACGAGCTTTATAGGCCTATATATAGATCCCAGGACGTAAAAAAAAACCGAGTACTGATGTTTCAGGATACACACTCCTTTTTTCTGGTCCTACATGACACCCATTGTCCCATCTATCCACGTAATCTCTCATGACATCTCTCCGTATGATGGGCGTGACAAGCTGAGAAAATTAAACCAGGGAAATAACACCTATGACCGCGTCCACCGAACTTTCGCAACCGCAGAGCCCAAACCTATGTAAAATGCAAGGGAAGTTGACATGGAAAATGAAAAATCTAAACGAGTGTAGTAAGAAACACTTCAAGGGATGGGCTAAAAAAATGTTTCCGTTCGTTTTCCAACTCTCACACAATTTCAGCCGCCGAAGTCGGTTCATTATCTGAAAAATCACTATTGAACGACACGGTATCCGGATAGTCCTCCGAAAAATCCGTGATATGGTGTGAAATGATATTGCTTCTATGCCCTTGATCCTCCTGCTCTGACGGTCTTATCGGTAACGGATTTTGTTCTGGCAACGTTGGAGTTGGCGGAGGAGAGTCATGCGGATAGATTACGATATCAGGGTGCTGCTGGGAGATATTTTGGTGGGGAACCGTAGTATCAAGCCGATGAAGGTTTCGATTTGGGGCGACAGTGTGGAATGACCTTGCCGGATTTGAATAGTTAGAGTGCGGGAGGGCTTGTGGCAGTGGAGTTGGAAATGACTGTTGAGACGGAATCTGTTGCAAAGAGGGGTGCTAATTAAACAATAAAACATTAGGAATCTCCAAGTATATCTGTAATTGAAGTAATAGGACACCTACAGTCTGATCATTCCTGTAAATTCCAAACACAGCAGCCTCATATGTTGGCGGTTTCTCCTCCTCCTCCCCCTCCTCGATGACGCGAGGTCTTTGTTGTCGCTGCTGTCCATGCCCAAAACTATGTCGGTTTTTGCTTCTTGTCCTTGTCCACCAGATAATGGTAATCACCACAGCCAACACAATGATTACAGCCGAAATCGTTATTCCCACCAGTGCTGCGGTATCGATGGTTCCTCCATGATTAACTACTGGCAGCGCGCTAGGTGTCGGTGTACTGTAATCGGGACGATTTGGGTCCACTGAGGCTGGAACTGGGCTCCATTGACCACCGAGTGAACTGGTGTTTTCAGGGCGATGGGAACCTCCAGTAGCACTAATGTCCGAATCCTGGCTGGGTGCCGTGACACCTTCGAATGGCGACATCGTTGGCTGTCTTCCTCCGTCAAAGTATCCTTTTAAAGTATAGAAGGGGGATAGAAGGAACTATAAGATGGATGGAGGGTGCTGTAGTTCCATAAGTAGTCTTCGAGGGAATACCCTTATGTGCACATGTGCTGGTATGGTACATGTGTGACCTACACACTCAGCTTCAGCCCCCGCTACTAGCTTATAATAGGCAAAATGGCTGATGGCAACTATCTAAGTCATCCCAAAGTGTGGTTCCAGTAGCGAGAAGGCGCAACATTTTTCTTGAGCGGGAGGAAAATGTGGCAGCCGACCTTTTGGTGGTGCCAGTGTAAGGGGAGACAAAGTTGGATCTTTACCATAATACCTACATATAGGTAATAGGTACTTATTGGGTATGTAGGGAGTCCTGCTTATTGCTTATTGTAGGGAGAGATTTTTATTTACATAGAATTCCAGTACTCTAGTATAGCTAGTTGGTGCACTTAAGGTTTTCGATCTACGGAACGAGCCTGCACCTAATATTTGCTACCGAAACAAAAGTTGGAAATTTTTGAAGTGAGTGGTTTCAGAACTCCTTTTACACTGGAGCACATAAAGTACACACATACACCACATGTAGACACACGATACGACCTCTACGTCTACTACTGGTGGAAAAAAGCACAATCGTTCTCATGTTTGTTACTTTTTTGCCACATACATGTGTGACAAGGCCGTACTTAGCGATGCCGTTCTAAGACCAGTACCAACAACCGAATCTGTATGCGAACAAGCGGCCAAAGATTCGAGACAGGAATTAAGGTGCCTTCTTTCCCGGCCCCCTGGACTCTCCGCTAAGGCCGATATATTGACAACTCTGTTGACACCACGCAGTGCGTTACCTTAAAGTTCTTTGGCTAAGATTCACAGTATGGTTGAGACCATGTTATCTACAGTAATCAGATCACATCTTTTGTCATGGTGCTGGGAAAGTTCGTGCTAATAATAATAACTCAACACTGCCACTTCTGGAAGACGTATGTAGAGACATAGGTACATGTACTCATGTAGATAGAGTACATGTATGTTAACTTAGCTGTGGACGCCACGGTATTTGTTATTCTTCCTATGCGAGTGGCAAGAATAAACCATTGGCCCTGGATGTTGCTGGTGTCCAGGATCGTGGGATATCGACCAGATGTTGCCTTACTGTGGTGATACGTAAGACTACCAATTAAAATGCAACTTGTAGGTACTCCAAATCGAGACATGTTTGTACATTCTTAGGAGGCCGACACTTGCTATTCCCATCAACCACTATCTCCAAATAGGTATGATAATATGATGAAGTTGATGTCCGTTTAAGCGTTTGTGTCCCGGTGGGTTGGGAACCGTCAGTTTCCGGGGGACATCCTGTGGTATCCAGTAACCTGGTTAAGATTGCCATAGGATGTGGACATGTTTCAGAAAACATTCCCGATTTTGATGGCTTAAGCTGCCGATAAGGAATCATGTAACAAAGCAGGTATACCTACAATACTGTACTCTACTTCGTATATATACGTGCGTGTACCTACTATAATGTCCGTAGCACGTACATTTATGTACTTTTGTTTCGTTATTAACACGCACAAGGATATTGTTAGATCTAGAGTAGTTAGAGCTAGAGTACCGTGCTGCATAAATACGTTGAATCCCTTTATTGGCGTTAAAATTCCTCTACTTAGCTCATGCTGCTAAAATCCAATGCTTTTTAATCCTTGCCTATTGTGCCATGTTCTATATCCCCCAACCAACATTGGGCATGCGACGTAATCGTGCTCCACTTAGCATCGAAGGAACAACTCGGGAGGACAGAACATGTTTGTTGACGACGCAAAACTCATTTTGCGGTCCATTCAAGCCAACATGCTATTCCCGAAAGATTAGTCAAGGTCATCTCGCCTATGACTCAATAGTCTAAATTGACGATCGTCGTCTGATTAACACTTCCGCAACACCTCCTTCGATAAAGACAAACGGAAAGAACCCATAGATATCTTAATAATTCACTAAACAACTCATCAACCCGGGGTCATTTCGCCGCCAGGAAGCCCTCCATCCCTTCTGTGAGACTTCATCGTACTCAGAAACATTCCTTTTGCTGAAAGGATGAATGTGAGGTTGGGAATATAACCATATTTATTGAAGAACACGATAGCACCTAACTTACGGTTTAGCATCTATGTATTAATGCAAACACCGATGGAAGACCAGACTCCGGATAGTATCAGGATTCTCTAAAGGAACCCCGTTGTCAGCAGGGTAAATTAGTACAGTTGATAAAAATTTACATAACGAGCCTAGGTAAGTACATTGTAAGTATCGTGATCTGTCATTTGCTAGCTAGATCAATAGATGAATGAAGCTTATAGTCTTTTTTCCACGGAGACAGCACACGATCAATCGAGAATAGATGGAACCCATGGAAATAGGCCACTAACCGGTACCACTACGGGTGCAGGCCTTGGAACAAGTACTGGAGCTACGATAATATACTCAATGCGCATACTCTCATACGTGTAGCTAATGGCTAACTAGGCTCCATTAATCGGTATACGGGCAGAGTGTCCCTATAATAGTATTATTTGATTCGGTAAATTTTTCTGTATAGAAACCGTTTCTCCAGACTAAGTGCGAAAACGATGGACTATCGATATTTCATAAAATAATAACATTATCTCCAGATATTACCTACAGCAATCACATTAGTTGGAGGGATACCTCACACAAAGCTAAGACAGGAACATCTATTAGTGCCATTGCACCGCCGGGTTATGCTTATCATTGGACATTTAGAAGATGTCAATGAGTTAGGTAGGTTAACCTTTGAAGTTTTCCCTCCGACTGTGTCGCGTCATGCCTAAAAAAGATCTCGTTCTAGGATAACGTCATAATCTTAGAGGCTGATCGACATCTTATTTCAATAGTAAAGTATTAATCTAAAACTGTATTTTCACTCTCGTAAAACAATGATATTCGCCCAGAATCCGGGAACAGAGGATCAGTAACGCACACATGGCCTAAGACAGGCCCATATATGGATGGCTTCAACCGGTTTATTCCAAATTGAAAAAACATAATGAATTTTCTCTAAGGCTTGTTTTATGCCCAAAACAAAAGCGAATACCTCATTAATATAAGAAACGGAAAAAACTAAGTATGTATAAGCCGCCCAAAAAAGGAAATGAAAATGAAAATGAAAACGAAAATTTCAAGGAAAGACTGACACCTCCTTAGTTTATTATCAATGTACGCCCAAAAAAGAAAATCAAATTAATCATCCATTATCGTCAACACGATGCACCTCCTTCATAATCGAAGAATCGAAGCACGAAGACAAAATTCGGAGGAATAGAAAGCCAGAAAACTATTTCTATTCTATTTCGGGAGGACCGAGACAATATCTTGTAATTCTTGAGCAAGCTTAAGGACTCTTTCAGCGGCCGAGATGTTGCCGAACCCAGCGACATAGGTTACATGATCGCAGGTGTTAACGCAGTGCATATCCTGAGTTGTGATTTTGGTGTAACCATCTGAAGTGATGGTTACATCGATAGCCAACCTTTCGAAGTGTAAAGTATCTGTAGCAGTCTCGGCACCAGTTGAAAGGTCGTCCAACCCTTGCATCCTCGGAGATGTTCCGTTTTTCTCTGAAGCCATGATGGTTTTGTGCGGGAATCAATGGAGGTATGGATTGAATTGTGCCTGGTTAGTTTCGTCAGTCAGATCTAACCTCTTCAGATAGTTGGGAATACTTTGAAGCAAACATACCTAAATTCAACTACGAGATAAATGGATCGTGGTGGAAATCCAAATTCTCGAAATAATCGTGGATAAAGTGAGTGAAGGATTGTGGCTAAGGTGTTCCAACGGCTCAACTTAACGTTCGCTTTCGAAGTAACGGGGAAATGGAGTAGGGAGAGAATATATCTCAAAGGCTAACTTTTGTCGTTTTGTCGTGGAGATATGGGATCGCAGGTATAAAAGTATACTGTAGTCCCGGGCCTGTGGAAGGATCTGAATAAAGAGGATATGGAAAGGTTATAAAGAGTATTACAACGTGGCAAGGGAAAGAAAACTACCGACTCCTTTGGCTGGCCTCTAAACAGCCCGGTGGAGGTGATATCTGTGGAGACGACAGATATGAGTAGGGCTAAGACTGGCTGGTTGGGACCTCGCCAGTAAGGTTTCGGCCAGGTCTAATGGAACCCAGTAGTGGCAGAATCAGTCTACGGGAGCGGGGCACCCGCTTCTCAAACCAGGAACATGGGCACCGGAAAAGAAATTTTTGGTGTGGTTCAGAAACAATTCAGTGTTTAACGAAACATGAATCAGAGGATATCGCTAAGATAAGATTCATTGCTGGAACATCGTCCGGATTGTGTACAGGTGACTACATCTATGGGACCACCATGTCTACAATATCTAAGAAAAAAATTTCGCAAATTTCATGGATTCAATGCAGTAGTATTATCTCTTTACGCATGATTACATTATTTTAGTGTATAAACTACTCTTTGGCGAACATAGGAGCCAATGGCAGGACGGGTTCTGACAACAATACAGCAATGTTACCAACATACACAATGGAGCCATTTTCACGATTATAATTAAGTGAAAAATGTCAGAATAATTTAGGTTGTTCTGCCAAAAATTCCTAACGCTCTAATTGCTAGTTCAATAGCTATCGAATGCGAATTGAATATCATTCTTTCACGCCTATAATCAACTTATGATATTCATATCAGTGTTTTAGGTGGACACATATATCAACTGACTGACACTCACTAATTCATACCCCCGTCAATGACATGCAAAAGAAATGTCGAAATTGGAATCAACACATGAAGAACTCGTATCTGCAGTTAAAAAATTCTCATCGACGATACAAAACCTTGGGGGAGTGTGAATCGACCCTGGCAGGCATCAAAAAAAGGAACGGAACGCACGCACAGACCCTACTTGATCTATCCTCTTGTGTAACTACGCCATAATTGCGAAGTTCTCTCTCGATTTCGGTCTTTCTACTAGATATGTACATCCTAGAGAACAGCTGTGAAGGGTTCGACTCTGAGGATGAGAATATACCTTGAGGCTTCGTTGCTGTTATTTCAATTACAGCCTAGGCGGATTCAAATACCATCGAAAGAGATGTTTCCTCAAATACCTCTCTGTCATAAAATTTAGAGGCAGATTATGGGATCTTATTATTCTGGCGTTTATAATAACGACGCGTTTACCGAAACCACCGCCATTTTGATCCTTCAATTTCTTCGATAACGATACTCCAACGCTCTTAAAAATTTGTTATGTAACTACTTGTTATGGCATCTTGCGGCGCATTTATTTTCAATGGAGCTACATGATGGTCTCGGGGCATAGTTGGGAGCTGCCTGCATGACGTTTCATCATTCTTACGGCTATTGAAGACATACACTGTCCCAAGGATTAAGGTCATAAAGAGCATAAAGTCATTATCTTCAGTTAGTTTCGAATTCATAAGGTAATTCCTAGCCATTGGTTTAGAGATCTAGTCAAATGCGAGCGCTGCGGGCCGCAACTTGCCGTATGTAAGACAAGGCTGAAGGTTCGGTAAGATCTATGGTTTACTCGTAGTTCGTCCCCATTTACAGATTATCTTTTCCTATTTACATTATTTGCATTCTACCGGCAATGCCTAAACGAATCAATCAGTTGACTCGGCTATAGTGTTTCATAGCGATCTACCACGTGTCTATTGGTTACTCTCCTAATTAACAACATATTTACCTTTGGAACGAAACAGAAGAATTCCCATAGATATTCCCCTGCATTGTGCATGAAATGATTATTCTACCTAAATCCAGTATGAGAAGGGTCACGAGGGAGACCCGAAGAGCCCGAGGAGGCTCTGTATACGTAGCTTAGCTTTCTCACTAGCCAGTCAAATAAGGCCTTACTGATTTCCTTGTTTATTGTGAATGACGTTTAAGATTAACGTATAAGAAAAACTTTCACGACATGGTCTTCATTATATGATGCCCTCTCAGTACGGGTTTCTGGCGCGATACTTTTTAAGATGCTCAGATCTCCTTTATTCCCCCCTTCCTTTCTTTAAAAGAAAAGTACCGCTTATTACATGTATTATACAGTACTGTAAGTTATTAACCTTGTCCCTGGCTGACACTTGCATGTGTGCATGCGGCAACATATCATGGCATGAAGAGCATCAGAACATATGATTGCATAAATCTTGTAGAAAAGCCCCCGGCCGAGATCTCAACTTGGCCATGGGAAATACTGAAATTAACAGCGGATCCGAGGTGGCGTACGTACTAAACATGTATACATGTATGCTCAAGATTGTTATCTATGTGTCTATCCACGCGAGTTACATACTGTAGATCTACATAGGAAACATTGCTATATATACAATTAACACAACTGTGTGTATGTTCATTTACAACGAAAGGTAAAGGTATTGTGGAAGCAGGGGTCTGAAAACAGGGCCTGATGGCTTGCTGGCCGTCAATAAGGCCTTAAGGTTCTTCCCATATATACGCTCATGCTCAGCTGCAGGGGAAGGTAACGACCTCTGATTACGCCGATTTCAACGACGACTGCAAATTGAACCCTTGCCCGTAACTTGTATTTTCAGATTCTTTCGCCTTCCCCGAATATAATTAACTCGATCATAAGTACTTGTTCCCCCCCTCTATCTATATCAACTTAGAAGTGCACTAGTGTCGGATATCTCTTACCCCTGAAAGCCCTATATTGTTACATGTACGTCGTATCAGCGCTAGTGTAGGTCATCTGAGCTTCTGTCGGTCAATTGAGTGAATATATAACCCCTCGGCCTTTATATGTACGTTTTTATGACTCGATGGAAAGAAATGTATCTTTCGAAAAAACCTGATCGGTAGGTTGGGCGCGTGACGGATGAAAAAGAGGCGGCCACATCCAATAACTACTTATGTCCGGTACCTGGTAGTCAAGGGCCGTTTCAAGTTCTGCAGTCGGTGGAATATACATAAACATCGGTTTAGCTGAATAGCTTGTAGCTGCATATATCTATCTCAGACAAAGCACATGTAATTATTAGAGATAGATATCCGGCAACGTGACATGGATGTTCCGGATCGACTGGCGCACCAAACGTTACAAAACCAGTCAGATTGTCGGGTCCCTAGGCCCTTGTGCCTGTCCCGAGGACTTGGATGAGCATCCATGACAAGGCTGGGCTTCTGTAAAATCCACCGAGTATACATAATATTGCAACAAGGTGTCTGTGCATATTTAAAAGCCATTGATGCGTATTGCGTATGTCGGTAATAGCGAAAGAGCTGCACATGACCATTGTGTTAATTAGTTAGACGAGATATGCGTTTATCAGCACACCTACACTGTGCCAATTGCATTGGGTTATGAATACATACGTTTACGTATGTAGATATACAAGTAGTATCATGAGTGATTTAATCACCCTATCACGAAGAACATCTGATTGTGTTATCTACCACATACAAATCTTTTACTGAAGGTATACCTCCGGCACCACGAGCATTGTGAAGTCATTTCTTATCACCGATCTGCAATTGGTCACGTTCAGAGGATCGTAAGATTTTGAGATTCTTATAAATCTCGGTAGTCAATCCGGGGTTCCATACGTGCTGAGACATGGGAAACTACATGTATCAATTGTTTTTATTTTCACCGTATCCAAGTAAATAATCGTCCGAGTTAGTTCTAGTTAGTCCTTTGACTATGGTACTGCAGCTAGCAAATGATCTACAAATAATCTTGGCGTTGCCAAGGACGGCGATCTAGGATAATTCAGAGTCACCATAGTCGACCCGTGTTGCCTAGATTCCCGCGCGTGACCTCTTCTACGTCTTCGACTTTTTCACGGCTTGAAGAACCACGGCTCGACAACAGACTACATACGCACCTACAACCTAACTACGGCGTAAATATCTCAATTCCTTCAGTTTGCATGCTCAGTACCTTGCTAAAAACGATGCAGGCATCACGCCATATCAAGAGATGAAAACCAGGAGCTCAAGTAAGGCGGTCGAGAACAACGGACATGGAGCTGGAGGGGATGATTGCCCACATGATGACGCGAAAAGTGTTGGAAAGACGATACAAGTGCATAAAAGGAAATTGAGTAGTGATGCGGCAGGAAAAGAGGCAGAGGCACAGAGCGAAGTTAAAGAGAAATTGCCAGTTTTCAAGAACGCGAGCAAAAATAAGGAGGCTGGAACGGAAAAGGGTGGGAAGATTGCGCACTTTGCAGATAATGTGGAGAAGAATGAGCAGCGGATTGCTGGTGGGCAATGGCACACTATTTTCGAGGGGTTGAAAGGATAGCCTCAGTGGTGTAAGACCTCATAAATTTTTTTATGGAGATCCAAGATACATACAGAGTTACCAGTATGAAACGAGCAATCGAATGAGTTTATTGCAAGGAAGCAGAATTCGAAAGGTGACAAAGAGGTCTTGCGGGAACGATATCGAGCTTTGGGGTTTACAAATCTAGATATTTATATATATATATTTAGTATACAGTTTCGAATCAATACGTGGTCGGCCCTCAGAGATAGGAAACACAAAATCTCAGAACTCCTAGAGTTTAAGCAACGAAATTACAACGCCTAAGAATTAGAACTCTAGTCGCTACTTTACCATTGATTCCTAAGTTATTTATCCATGCCATGCAGAACCTTCTTTAAAACATACATGTAGACTTGCAAGGAACCTCTCCCCATAAGAACTTCCAGCAAGCTAGGCATAAGCATGATTTAAGGTCCATAAGACTAACACAAATTATCAACGTAATTTTATATCTCAAAGAATGTATATATTTTTTTATATTTTCGATCACCACCTACTGATTCGACTATTTACATGATATCGAGAGTCGCAATTAATGAATTAAACAATAATTATACCTCCAATAGTTTCGAGTGATAATCCATGATTCATGCATTGAGTATAATAATAATAATGACCTCTCATACTCGCATGCAACCGTAAGGTTATGGCGACGTTCAAGGGATTACCGCTGTCCTCATTTGAGCAAGTGACTGGGAACTTCCAAAATCCAGCCCGACCGGCAAGACTCTACTAGGTTAGGAAATGCATCAGTAAATGCATCACTTTTTTGTATGGGGAAATGCATCAGCAAATATATATCAGCAAATATATATCAGCAAATATATATCAGCAAATATATATCAGCAAATATATATCAGCGAATGTGTAGGGAAAGACATTAAAAACGTATGGGGAAATGCGTTACCTAGTCTAGTTTGATGCATTTTCCGATGCATTTCCCACGTATGCCAATTGGAAATGAATCGATCGATTTATTCCCCTAAACATTTACTGATGAATTACCCACGTATGTCAATGGGAAATGCATCACTTGATACTTTCTCGATGCATTTGCTGATGCCTTTCCCACATATGTTAATGGGTATGCGTCATTTGATGCATTCCCTAACCTAGTAGATAAAAGACAAAGAAGAAGAAGCAAAAGAAGTCCCCCGGGAGGGGGGGTTATACTCATGCCTGGTTCGTTATGCTGGCGTATATTGGGTTCTCTTAGGTGTCACTCGCACGCATCTACTAGTTTGGCTCTCCGAGGTTGGGAAATGTATCACGTTGCCCATCCCGCTTTTGTAAGGAATATATCAAAATGATCAACCAATGAAATGTATGGATCGCCACCGTTTCGCTCGTGAAACAAAAGATCAACAGACCGAGTGATATTCCATGATCAAAAGAAGAACAACTAGTTGGACTCTCACATGAACAAATTTCATCATATAATATCAATCTATATACAGCTTTTTTTCTACCGTTCGTAGAACAACGATCTAGAAAAGCGCGTGAAAAAAATAACAAAGACTCCGAATCCAAAGAAAAGAAAAGCCCCCAATCCGTTAATATCCTGCTTCATCAACCCCGATCTGTTTGTACATTTCATCAATCCGCCCATCGGTTCGTCTCATACATATTTTTTTTTCATTCATTCCATCCATTTTCCATTGTATCTCTTCTAGACATGCCCGCGTTATCTTGAAATGATTGGCTTTTGAGAACTAATCGAGACGGTTGAGCGTTTATCGTTGCTTCGCTGCCAGAGCGGCGGCACGCGACGCTCTCCTGGCCTTGCCCTTCTTGGTATAGGAGTCCACGAAAAAGCTGACAAAGAGATAGGTCAAAGGTGTGAGGTAGAAGCAGTTGGCAAGAACAGCCCAGACTTCCTCGGGACCAGAGAGACAGGCGACCATGCCTGGCTCGGAGTGCATTCCAACAGAGCTTCCGTTCTTCATCATTTCACCAGCATTCGCAGAGGAGGCGGCATTGAGAATGGTGGTGGCAGTAGTAGGGGTGAAGTAGATGAAAAGGTGAATGGCAGCTCCGGATCCACCAACGATGAACTGTGTGATCTGAAGGGAGGTGAGGGAGCGCTTAAGAGCGTTAGGGACGTGGATGTGGAGGGTTGAGAGGGTGTAGTAAGTGTACTATTCATACATTTGTTAGTATACTGTGATTGAAAGTTCAGATGGAAGGGCAAATTACCATAAGTGTGTGGATCAGAGAGTTGAAAACACAGAAGAGCCAGATGGGAGGGGACATGAAACGAATTCCAGCCCACATGCAAATCATAGCACCAGCGTGATGGTACGTCTGCAAAAGGCTGCTCTTCTTTCCTTTGGCAATGATAATGGCGGTATCAATAACTTCGTAGAACTTGCTCAAGTAGAACAGCCATCCGTAGAATGCAAGACCCTCCTCCCACATTCCGACAGGTCCTTGCAATAAATCCTCTGGCAATTGGGTCAAATCTGTTCCGAATCTCGTCTCTGGGCGAATCTTGCAAAGCGACTCCACGACCCCAGAAACACCACGCGTAGTTACAATTGAGCGGTGCACAGCCATGCACATTCCAACGAAAGTCCACAGCGAGTAGACAGCCAGGAAAAGGTTGTGGGCAATCACAAACAATTTGAATGCTCTGGTTTTTGAGATCCGGTAGGGTGTACCATCGCAGCGGGAGTTAAAGGCATGGACGACCGTCGCATACACGGCAGCAATTGTGAGAGGAACGGCAGGGTTGAGCAGAGATGTGTAGAGCGATTCTGAGATTGAGAACGGGTATACACCAGCTGCGGGGGGGATTGCAGGCGAAGCTAATGATGGGGATGGAAAAGCAGTAATCCACGAATTGGGTGGCAGGGCAAGCCTGAGGGACGACATCAATGAGGCCATTGTGATATTTTGGATCCTGGATATGTGGGCCGGAAAGATTGTGGTTGTGGGTGTATGAGTGATGGGGTGATTGTAGAAAAGGAAGAAGAGGGAGAGAGGTGGTAGAGTAATAAGAGGATGAGGAATGCTAAGAAAGTTGGCCTATATTGGGACACCCAACCGCTATCGGGCTAGAGGAAGTAGTTCTGTTGGGAGCTGCACAACGTTCTGTGAGGGGTGCGAGGGAAAAAAAAAACGTGAGAGTGGTGGGGTTAGGGACTGGGGGAGGGGGGTGTGAGCACTGTGAGGGGACCCTCGGGGGAGTGAGTATCTTACTCCACTAAGGTTACGCCATTCCGGGGGAAGGTTGCAAGGAAACTAGGAGACATACTACATAGAGTACTAATTCTTGCGACTAACTGAAGTAGGGAGCTTGCAATTGGAAGAACATTGAATTCATCAATCGAGGTAAAACATCATGTCGTCTCCTCAGCCTTTCAGAAACATCAATTCAACAATCAATGCAGGGGAGACGGATCAGAGACAGCGTAGAGATTCTGCTGGCTCCCATATGCTGTTGTGCCACTGCTCTATCAGGACATTCACTTCAATCTCTAGCCTATGAACCCTTAAAATACACTTTCCGGGGCACCTATCGGGTGTTTTGTGTTCAGTCGACTCTTCATTGCCGCAGCTCAACAGAAAAAAAGGTTCCAAGAGCAAAAAAAAAAAGCCATCCAACAATCAACAATCAATAACAACAACAATAAAAACCACTGTACCTCTCTATCACACTCAACTCGATACCACATATCCAGCCACCAGCTGGGCATACCAGCAAAAATCTAGGAAAATTCACAAGCTTCCCAGAGCTTCCCGAGGCTGTCTTCTAGTGTTTTTCCCTACAGTTGAGTCTTTCGTTATACCCTTAAGTTTTAACCGAGGCAGCAGACAGGTTTAAACCGAAACGATACTCTTTTGAAAACAAGAACAGGGACCTGAGGTACGGGGTATCGATCTTCAACTTTTTTTTTTTTGGCGCCGTCGTCGCTGCACGGAAAAACGTTGTTCCAGTAGCAGCCGGTAACACAGCAATAAATTGTTGGGAATGTGCAGGGGGTGGATCTGAGAGGGGCACTTCAACGGTCTGGTTGCCAATGCTTTGTTATTAACGTGCCCTCTACCCGAGCAGACCGAGCCGAGGGGAGGGGAGGGGAAGGTAGAAATCCCTAAAGTAGAGTAAGGTTGCATGCTCCGAGAAGAGAGAGTTCTCGGGGGCCTACGATGGTTCGTTCAGATAACCGAGAAGATCTGGCTTACATACTCGACACATTCCAACTTCCCCCGACAGAAACCGAAAGTGCATCTAACCTCCCTCCTCCTTTGCTGTATCTTCCTCAGTTCTTGTCATCCTCACCCTCATCCTTCTTCTCCACGATCCCAAGGCCCCAACTCCATCACCTACATTGCCGGTGCAGCATGAACCTTTTGCTACTAATAAAAAAGCAAGTCTCTGTGTAACTCGTAGGGACATTTCTTCTTTCTGGTCTTCCAAGTCGAATCGTTTATCCCTGGAATCGTCTTTGCGGATCTGCGCACGCACCCACGAGGAGCCGACCGCGAGCAAAAAGAACGCATAGACATCGGTAGATAAGAATACTACTCTTATCGTTATCCGCGCTCTACAACGTCATCACCGACAATATCTCGTTAGCTCTTTTCTTATCGATATCGATCGATGCCTGTAGCTGTATTGCAGGCAACGCAAAAAAAAAAAAAAAAAAACACGAGCGAAATCTCATGATCCGGATTGATGTCGCTTGGAGGTCCGACTTTGGCTCTACACACAGCCAACATTATTTTCCAGAGAAGAAAAATAAAGGGGGCTGAGGTGGAAAGTGCCTGCAGTCTAACGACATTTTTAGATGATTTTTTTAGGCAAGACCATTAAGTACTTACAGAAACATTTGACCATACTTGGCTAAAGGCTTTTGTTGCGGAAAACTCACTCTACTCGTTGATTCTGGTGTCTACCCACAAGCTGGAAAGAGAAGGATTAATGACGACGAAAAATGAAGATGCTATAAGGCCGTACCTCTGGGTAGCTCCCTCGACATATATCGGAAATGGTTTGAAATTCTGGAGTCGGGGGGAGGGGGGGATTAAGGAAGAGGAGATAGTAGGAAGTTGAAGATGGTGAACGGCAAGGTGCGTGAGGATAAGTGTGAGGAGATTAGTGCTCCGGATTCCCGGATCAGGTAAAACCCACCACCACTAGTGAGAAGAGCAACTCGGGACGAGCCGTAAGGGCTTGCATTCCTCGATCGAACCGGCCCATGTACATATATCCGATCCTTTATCCAAGACGCCGCATGTTTTGGGACAAATAAAAACAGATGTATGGCGCGAGATTTACATAGCCAGATCTATTAAACGCATGTGGCCTTAAAGTCACCACGCTAGCTAGGAACTGATCTCTTTCATAAGTAGAGGCTAGGATTAGGGTATATGTAACGGCAGGGCCTGATCGAATATTCTAGAATCAAATCCAGCCCACTAAATCATATGTGCAGACGTTTTGATTTCGCAAGGGGGCTTACTCGCATGTTGAATAGTACATACATCGCCACCATATATCACCCCCACTTTCGTCTCACCCACATATATATACATGTATGTATATATCCCAAATTGCAAAGGAACTTTCCGAATAGTTGCGCATAAACAATCATTTATTAACTATCCCCGGCCCTCCTCTGCTTAGTATGGCGTCACAAGGTATCACTCGTTACCATGTGACTACTTGGTTGAGCACATTTGACCAGTCATTAAGAGGAATTTTATATTGGTAGTATAGACCTAGGTCTTGAGGGAAAGGGTGAGGGGATAGCTCGGTTTGTCGACTCGATCCTGATTGGTTGGTTCGGTTTGACCCGATAGGCTTAGGTCAAGATTTTTGCCGGTGTAGATGCACATTTATAACAATCTATTCTATGTTTAACGCCTAATAGGGAGAGATGTGGGTGACGGGCGTATGTGGGAAGGGAGGATGTTGAGAATTTCTGGCTTGTTTTGTTTGTAACGGAATATATTGAAGTAAGGGATTCCACCCTGATTGGGCTATTCGAAGAGGGATTCATGAATTCAAAGGTGAGAGGAATAACATGAGTACATATGTAACCATATATACATGTATAGAGAAGGAGACGAGTAATCATAGTAATGTAGAATGAATTCGAAGGCCACGGTCTATATCCGCCCAGTCATTAAGAACATCTTGCGGTGGGCTTTAATTGATTGCGTATGTACGTGGTGATACTTATAATTATTATCAAGTACCATATAAAGTTGGAGCAGTTCATTGCGATTTCACTCGCAATATTTTTCTCTTCGAAAAACCGGAGAATGTAAAGATTGGCGTCCGGTCTAGGGCACCAATCCGAGTGATCGATCATGATGCAGACGAAACCCCCCATTTCTCTCCACTCTTCCGATCACTTACCCCAGACGTACCAGGCCACTCTGGTTTTACTCATTCCACCACCCGACCATCCGCCAACTCGTCCGCCTTGCCCCAGATCCGTTCAACCCTCCTCACACCTTCCCATCTCACTCTCTCTCACCCAGTAGAAAAACCTACATAGTACACCTGCGCACTTCCCATAGCCAAACTACATGTATACAGCCACACTATCTGTACAACCCAATCATTTACATATGCAACCTTTCCCTTCTTCCAAACAATTCATCTAAAGTGCTGCTCTCTCGGCAATCTCTGTGCGAGAAATAAGACACACACCCACACACACACTGGGAAAACATAAACATGTTTCACAATATCGGAAGCTTGCGCACGTGGAAAACGGGGGAGGGGTGATTTCTTTTGGTTTATTCCAGTTTTACTTTTTCTCGCTCGCGAATTCGTCTGTACAATAATGTAGTGGCATGATCACTGATCATCAACCAAGGGTAGTAACTATGTCTCACCGCTCTTGAAAATAGTACCGCAGTATTTGGGAAAATTCGTCGCGCTGCAGCAGGGGTCTTCTCTACCAAATCTTGCATATTGACGTCCAAATACTGCCTCTGGTTGGCTTATACCCCTGCTGCAGCGCGACGAATTTTCCCAAATACTGCGGTACTCTAGACCGAATAGCGTTGCGTTAGGGATAAATATGGTGATATGGGGGATGGAGGAGGGGGGATCCACAAGGTAGTAATCATAAGTGCACTTACTACATATATATGTATGATAGAAAAAGTTTTTTCTTCCCCCGGCGGATTTCAACGGGATCGTCCGTACGGGGCTTAAAAAGAAAGAGGAAAAGCCCACTCGGACCTCCTTTCAAAGCATTGTCCTACAAGCCGGTTAAGATGTGGGCGCGCGCGTGTGAGCTGTGCTTTTTGATCGCCAGGTGCATTACACCATGTGTACAAAACCCCTCCCCCAGGTTTAAAAACAAAACCTCTTTTCTTTCCTTTTCCCCCCATTTTTTTTCTTCTTTCAAGCGCGATCAGGCGAGAGAATCTCTAGCTCTCGGAAGACCATTTCCATAATGTACCCGGTCTCTAGAGAAAGAGAGAGAAAGGCTGCACTTTGGTTTCATGTTCTTGTTCTACACCATGTACCATGGGGCCCGTAAGTGCGTGGTGCCAGTAACTCGAAGGGGATATATACAAACATACGCACGTCCATCCGGGCGCGGCGCCTGTCATACATCATGTACCTATATAGAGGAGATGGAGTCATATATGTTAGCGGGCGCCGGGCATTGACATAGAGCCCTGCTCGACGGGCATCGGGGTATCAATTCGGTTGGCCGGAGATCATCCATTTCGCATGTTGGTAGGTTTGGGGGCGGCGGAGGGATCGATTGATAATTTCGTGCTAATATGCCGTGCGTGAGGCTGGGAACATCTGATATCTTGCGATGGAATAATACGTCAGGGATCGACGTGACGCCTATTGGCCATGCCATGGTGAGGAGTTGGCACTCCGAATCAGTGCCGATACGGTATTCCCTTGCGGTTTAATTGCGTCAAATCCCTTTAATTTCAGGGGATAATAATAATCAAGAGCGTAAGAGGTTCGCCAGCGCTGGTGGTTTGCAAAACAGCTGTGAGTAGATGGCATGTAGGTAGGCCGGTACTTACATGTAGTAGGTAGCTACCCGCTGCGGTTAGATCTTGTCTCAGTTCGACAAAGGGTACATGTACTTGAGCACTGGCTGGATACATGTTCTGGCTAGTACTCGGGGCAGGTAAGAAGAACCTGAAAATGACTTTTGATGGTAACGGCCTCTGATTCGCGGCTGGCGAAAAGCTACACCAAATTGAGCCCTGCTTGCAGCTTGCATTTTCAGGTTCTTATTGCCTGCCCCGAGTCGAGTATGTAGATCGCACAAGAACCCGTAGATTGGCTAGAGTACATACATGTATGTGTCTGTTTAGTCTAGAGTACTGTACCAGTGGAACACTCTACTTACTCTATCTACTCTGAAGGTGTTCCGGTACTCGCTACATGTACTCTTGCGTGCAGTAGATCGACCGCGCAATTATATGTACATACACGGAACTATACCTACAGGGTAGGTACTCAAGGAAAGGAAGAGTACTCTATGCTACATGTAGGTACATGTACCTACTCTACTCGTAGCTTCATAGCGTTTCCGAACACGACCAATATTGCATGACATACAAAAAGGTGGATTTGGTGCTTTTTTGTATGGTATGCAATATTAGTCGTGTTCGGAAACGTCATGAAGCTACGAGTATTCAGCACGGAAGGCAGAGAGTACTCCAGAGGCGCAAGGTAGTCGTTACCGCTGGTAAGCGATAGGCACGCAACCGATGTGCCCAGATCCATCCCATCCCATCCCTCTGCTCCTCTTTCGCGCGCCCTCTTGGTTCTAAGCGCAGACGAACATGTGGGGGTTTCATTAACTAATTCAGATACCGCCGATCCGATGGAGGGGGAAGGAACTCTTCTGGAACGTCGAGGCGTTCTTCCTAGCAAACGTCCCATGCTTTCAGCTCAATTTACGGAGAACCCCTACCTAGTAACGGGGATGATCAAATTGGGTGAGGGGAGAGGCCAACTAGCACACATAGGCAGCCTTGGGATTGGATGATGGGCGGGGACGGAAGGGAAGGGGGCTAGAAGGGAGAATGGAAGGGGGGTATTGCGCTTGGAGGAAAACCAGGTTGATGGTCATGTAGGAAGAGGTAGGGCAGGGGTGCGTGATAGATGCCATCAATATATCTGCAATGCATATATAAATAATCACTAACAGCAGTACCGGCTCTATATGTGCCCTCAACCTAACTACCTGGTACATGTAGTTAATAAAACGACATCGAGGCCCGAGAGTGTAGTAGTAGGTAGGCAGCTATCACGGGTACGACACAGAAACTGAAAAAGACGGGTTGAAAAGGCATGACATGTAGTCCTGTGGTTGGAGGCTTCCATTATCGCCTTTCCCAACCCCCGGTCCACCTCTCCCGACCCAGGACCACCGACCAGACATCTCCCTCGACCTTCATTCCTCTTCACCCCAAACGGCCAGCGGCGCACGCGGACCCCCACTCAGTGGTTTATATATATACATATGTGTGTATTATATAATTTCCCTTTCGGTCCAACAGCCGGAAACACTCGACTCTGGGGCCGGTCGTGACTGCCCCATAATTATATATATATAAGCGATTGGAAGATAAGCCGATCCAATGTATGTAAAGTAAAGGGAAAAAAAAGGATTGGCTACATGTGTATGTATGACTCCGAAGGAGATATACTCAAGGATTCCCTCATACACATACGGCTGGCCTACGCTTTAGAGTACTGCACTTTGGGTAAAATAGAGTTGAGTAGTAGCTGCAGCAGGGCTGTTGGCGGAGTTGGCGGAGTTGGAGTACGTGGGGAAGGGAAAGAACTCGGGGCTAGAGAAAACGAAGCTGAGCAAGCAAGGATTAAAGTCACGGTAGTTGCAAAGAGATAGCTATAGGTGTATATACAGTGACAGAAACATGGATAAAATGACTACCGCAGTCTTTGGCAATACCGTACCACTACGGTAATACTACCGTTTGCTTTGTTAAAATATGGAGATAAAGCGGTATATTCTCACAATGCCGTACTGATGCGGTATCAGTTTTACCCCCATTTCTGATACTGTACATGTATGTATATGTACTTACTACCATGTAATCGATGTATTCTATATACACACGTAACCACCTTGACCTACAAATCCGACATCATTATACGCAAATTTCTTCCCTCAATTGATCAAGTACTCTGTCCATCTAGGAGTCTACTGGATTTAACTAATGTACACATGTGAAAAGCGCGGATGCGAAAACTATAGGTACTCGGGGCGGGCAATAAGAACCTGAAAATGCAAGCTGCAAGCAGGGGCTCAATTTGGTGTAGCTTTTCGCCAGCCGCGAATCAGAGGTCGTCGGGGGTCGTTTTCAGGTTTGTACTCGTCACCCAAAAAGGTCACGGTAATTATAATATATGGCGTGCGACGACGTTCGATCTTTTATTTTTTATGATCCATGTATGTAGGTACAGAAGAAGACTAGAAAATATTCTCAGTGTCAGAAGGAGCACAAAAAAGTAAAAGTGTCTCGATTTTTGCTTTTTTTGTGGGGAGATCGTTGGTTCAACATTCCCTCCTGTACGGCATGCCTGAATCCCCTGTCAATTATTTGTGTTTTCACACATACGTATGTACCCTGCTCGAGATCAAGACGCAACGGCACACCAACTCTGTAAAGATATGGATACATGTACTGTACGTATAGTACAAGCGTACTTATTCTTATTCTACACACACCTGCTGGTCACGTAGTGGATCTGTGGCCTATCGCCACCGAACTTTTGAAATCGAGACAAAAGTTGGCTTTAGTGTGTTACGTTCAACTATATGTATACAGTTACAGCTAGTGGTGCATGTATTTACCATTGGAAAAATATTGAAACTGAACGGACGTGTGGGCCACTATGATTGCTCAAGTAGCCCAAATAATAGTAGTAGACAACCACTATCCCGATCATGTCCATCGCCGTGCTGTCTCGGGCCCTGACAATCTCCAAATCGTAGAATTCGAAGGGCATCCCTACACAATTAAAGTATGGTGAGTTAGACAGGGTTTCTCTGCTTGTTTGGCACCCAAAATGAATCCTGGTTTGCAGTGTGCGCCGCGGGCAGCTAGCGCTCTCTTCACTCTACTCGTAACTTCCTGACGTTTTTGAACGCGACTGATATTGCATACCACACAAAAATACGCCAAGACCCTGATTTTGGGTGTGTGCAATAGTGGCCCAGTCCAAAAACGCCAGGAAACTACGAGTGCCTACATGTCTTGATTTGTATCTCTCCTAGCGGCCTCGGGATACCTCTAGCTCTCTCTGATCACCCACCCCATAAGCACACCAACTCACACAATTAAACCTGCACAGGCCTAAGGGGCGTGTTTTCCTGTACATATCCCATGTCTGGGCCGGTTGGAAGTTGTGGAGAGTCCTGGACTAGAACCTGGCTCATTGCTTGCGGTAGATTGAGGTGCATCCTACCTTTAACTACATCTTCTTGCAATTGGGTCTTGTTCCGTTTAGATAGTATTTTAGAGGCAAGGTTCATGCAAAGATCGCCTCAACGTCCTGCTGCTCGAGTGTCCCGCTGCTCAGTTTAACCACCGCTCGTCCATCATATGCATGCATCTGACGTGAGCACTAAGGTACTGCGGTAGCTAGACATAGCGCATAGATAGTTGCTTGACGGGTGCAATCCGGCCTCAGGAGGACCCAGTGGCGGCGATGAGGAGGGGCAAGAGTTACTAGTTAATTGAAATCGAATCTATTCAAACAGAAAAAATAGATTCATGCTTGCAATTGGGATCATATTTACTAGTCCCATAGTCACCTGGGTAATTAATATTGGTTCTAAAGTACTTGGAGCAGACAAATAGCTGGTACTAGTCCCGGTCAATACAGGTATCCTTTTCCTGAATCGATAAATGTTCTAGGCGTTAATCCCTGCAAAAAGTAGACAAGACATCCATTGTCCGGTACGTTTTATCTTCCCCGAGTTTGAGGGTACGTGCTAAGTTTTATTTGTTAAGAAAGCGGGCTGGCGCCTAGGCTTGAATCTTTGAATCCCGGATTTGCCCGCTTGAACAAATGAAGTGTACATACAATAGTATAATATATGATGAGGGGAAGGATGTGAAATTCGAATAATTCTTAACTAGTAGAAATATATGCGGAAGACAGTGATAACCTATCCCTACTCCCCGGAGACAATTACTATTACCTGGCGGTGCATACTACAGCCATACAAGGTATTGGATTGTCATTACTCTTGTCAAAATATAATTTCGTAATGTCCTCCCGTGTGCAAAACGCACCCACAACTTCTGACAAGCGACAAGACGTGTTCTGTGCTAGTGCCTTGTATACCTTTAATACCTTTGAATTGGGGCCATATGTTCAAATCAAAGTTGGCCTGTATGCTACCTTTGTGCATTGTTGGTGTGTGTGTTGTGATAGGATTTTCCATCATCAGATATGACGGACGCTAGTGATGGAGCAGCGAGTGGTAGGTACATGTATTTCTCAGCCGTCTACGCTACCCTGGCCAGCCTGTTGGTGTCTGTCTGCAATTGACCCAGCTTCCTCTGACGATCATATGGGTTATTCACTTTTGGTTGGATTATACCATCGTATATGAGCTTTTGGCCCATGACTATCCCTGGAACCATCCCTACGGGTTGTCGGTTTGATTGAATGATTCGCCATCTCCGGCTCGAGTGATATATTATGCGTAAAGCACGATGTAGTTATCATGCATGCACTCATGATCGTGCCAGTTTCAAGCTCTAGACTCGCAAGTAGACTCAGAGAGCTTGAACCTTATCCGTTACTTGAAATTCTAACGATAAAGATTTAGTAATGTATGCGTTCCGGGAAATATTGGCGCATGGTTGACCGGCCAGCCTACAAGCGTTGTCGTGGAGCAACACTGATCATGGCCGAAGGTGAAAGGAAATTAGGGAAGGGACTACATGTAGGTACGGAGAGATGTATGAGCCTATGAGCCTTAGTTTACGTGGCCTAAGTTGACGCTGGTATACAAATGGAAGGTATTATGACCAGATCAGGTGGAGCTAGTGAGGGGCGGGAGAATTATGCGGCTCCGCAACCTTCTGAGAAGCTGTGAAGGCTTCGATTTAATTCCGTACATACACATCTACTTGCGCGATCGAGTAGACAATCAACAATAACATCATCATCACCGGGGGGGGGGGGGGGGGGGTTGTAACAGGTCGTATAAATGATCTAGAGCTTCTGAGTATAGGGGAGCAACAAATTAGATCTAGCTTATGTACCTATCACAGGTGCAGAGAAAGTTAATCCAAGCTACAAAAGAGTGTGTTTTGTATCGTTTTGAGGCTCTTCAACTCTAGCTCTCATCCCACAATTCCCCCCACCTCATCCCTTCCCCTCTTCCCCATCCTCCATCCTCCATCCTTCCCGATCGTTCTATGCCTTCCACACCATCTTCCCCAGCTTTGTCAGTCCATGCGAGGCAAAGCTAGCTGTTCAACTTCGTCTCATAATTATAAGGCTTTTTTTTTTTAGTACTCCTTTGAAAAGAAATGCCGACTTGGTGGTGTCAGGTGCACCGCCTTCGCAATCAATGGTGTAAAAGCGAATAAACTATGCATTGAGCCAGTTTTTTTGTAGTCTCCCCACCCTAGAAGAGCGGTGATGCCATAAATATACTATCACTGGTAATGGTACCGTTTGAGTTACGCGCTCTCACTGAAAGAGCAAGCGCCTTGAGGGCTGACTGGATGCGTAATGAAGCCCCCCCTCTTCCCCTCTCGAACCCCCCTAGGGTAATTGAAAAAGCTGGAGTACATCTTTTTGGTTAACACCAGAAATTTGTAGACCAATAAACGTAGCTAAAAGATGTGAGTGTACAAGAAAGTAGAGACCAAACTTCACTGGCGCGTTCATTATAACTGCATCTCAATTAGTATCTCAATACCTGTCACCGGGATGGTGGTTTCTAGAAGGTGCGGCCCGCCGTTGGAATCCCAGCTTGGAAACAACGCTACTCTACATACATCTAGTTCCCCCAGCCGATGCTAAGGACAGAAAGTGTAGGCCGGGTTTTGCCAGCAATTATTTTCACATGAGGACTCCAAAGCCTGTGGTCTCAATCAAATCACAGGGCCCTTCCAGTCCTATTTTCTAGCGTTTCTCGGAGCATGTTTAGCAAGAGTGAGAATAGGCCTACTGGAATCGGCATAGGGAGTTACTCGAAGGTCCGATCGAGTGAGATCGTAACACTCAAGAGTAACTATTCTTCAAGCCAGGTGCCTATCGATCAACGTAACACTGCAACAGAGTACTGGGGTATCCCCTTCAGAACAGGCTACAAGGTTGGTCGGGCTTGTTCTTTTTGTTTTTACCTTTGCTTTCGTTGGGTCAGCCCCCCTGGGGGGAGGGGGGGCTGCTGCGACCGTCGGCGTTGTTTTGATGCGCCGTTGATTGCTGTCACTACATGTAGTTTCTCCCGATTCTGGGTCCAAACGCCTTTACGCCATTGCAGTGCATTTCTGGAGGTGAAGCCACTTCCGCACGCTTGAAGGTTTTGCTTGTCCATGGGCAGTTTTGTTAGCCCGCTGCTGCCCTTTGAGAGCACAGTATACCTGAACAAATGGTTTCGTCCGGGGGTGTGAAAAGAAAAATTCCTGCCTTTTCAATCGATAGTTAGCATAACTTGTTTAGACCACGCAACTACGGAAAGCAGAAAACTTCCGAGAGAGCCGGGATATTGAAACAAGGCGTCAAAAATAAAGAATGAACACCCCCAACGTACAACAGCCCCTGAGCTTAAATTCTGGAATTGATTGTAGATCTCCATGACAAAGGTTGAACAATTCACACGATCCCACCGACTGATACCATACAGCTGGAGCCGTCCTCGGAATCAACAGCTATATCCTTACCAGGTCGTATGTATCCCAGTAAGAACCTAAGATACTAGACTGGTCTCTACATATGTCACAAGCAAAAATCAGAACGGAAAGAAAAAATAAAAGGAAAGAAAATGCTACGCCACATCTTCTGGCAAATGGCTTCGGGGTTTCTAATAATCCGCCCTTCCTCCTCATCGAAACTCCCACAAAGCCTCAACCATCATTTGAAGGTTTAAATTAAAGAGCCCCGTCTGCACTTTTCTTGACATAGAACCGAGTACCCTTCACCACAGCCTATTCATCCACCACCATCATACACCACGACTAACTGATCAATCCGTCCTTCGATCAACACAACTACTGACCATATAACATTCCTCTTGGCTATTGAGATCATTCCAGTTCTGAGTTCGTTCTCGGAGACAGTGCTATCTACGTCTTTGCCCAAAAGACGAGGTTCAGTAGAGTGAGTCATCCTGACAAGTTGGACAATATCATCGACTGATTGAAGAAAATTGCAATAGCAGGATGGTGACTAAGGGTCATCCATTGATGATTTTTGCCATATTTCTGTCGGGGATGGTCGTAGTACTCTCTCTCAGGTATCTTGTGGACATGACCAACAAACACTCTTTTCCTTCCCCTTTCCTCTATCAAGCTGGATCTTTCATGGTGGGACCAGCTCTGCAATTTGGGTACCGGCTGTTTGCAATCCGAGTTGATAAGACTGTCTCTTATATATATCTGACATACTGGGTGAGTAAGTTCAAGGAAGTATCGAGGAATCTATGGCTAATGTGTATTAGGCGAAGAAAAGAATGTTTTCTCTGTTTACACGGTTAACAGTGACGCTTCTATTAAGGGCTCTTGGGTCCGTTCGCCAACAAGAGACGGCGAAATTCGACAAATCGGCTGAGCTTGCACAAAAGCGTGTCATTCATTTAGTTTCCCTCCTACTCTACTGTGCCAGTTCTGCCCGGACTCTTCTGTCAAATACTGAAGGCTCGGAGTCGAGGGTGTCCAGAGTTCCCGGTGTAGGAACACTGAAGGATATCACTGGATCCAAAGAGAGTGATAGGATGAACAAGACGGACTTCACTACCCTCAGCATAAAAAGGCTTAAGAATATGGCCAAATTTCATACACTTACCTCCATTCTGCCATATGACATAATTGCCTTCCAGGTAATGCAACTGGTGACGGAAACCACAACCCGATTTTCTGCTCCAGCTTCCAGCTTAGCATCTTCCAGATCCACTGCCGAGGATATCGGGGACCACATCGATCGCCCATCATCAGTTTCGCAAGCCGAGGAGCAGTTAATGATCATTAGTCCAACGAACCCAGAGGACCCTCAGAGGGCAATAGTAGATGGAAATTCACTGCCTTCACGCAATCAGCCCCATCACCAACCAACGAATATTGCGTCGACTATCGGTGAAACACATTCCACCACAGCGAGCCCACCATTACACCCCCAGTGGACTTATGCCCCCATTGTCCCTGTAGTAAACGAGTCGATGGACGATGATGTATCGACTGTTCAATCGTTGGGGCCAACAGAAATCCAGGTGCCTACTAGGACTCTCGGCCTTAATCATGGGGAACTATCAGAGGGCGTTCGGTATGTAGAGGATTCTCTAGACTGTTCTCATGATCATGAGGTCTGACAGTGGTGCCGCCAGCAGAAACAATATCATCGCTGAGGCCTGGCCTATGGATGGGGGAGAAAACCAGCATCCTCCCACCACGGTCCCCGTTAGCACCATGCCAGTCGATGGCTCTCCTGGATCATCGCCTCAACCCTCGCCAGTATCTCGTGCTCGAAGTCAAGCGTACAGGCCGATTTTCCAACCGCTTACACCCCGCCTTGAAAGATTTATTCAAGCAGAGCAACCTTGGTCCCCAGAGCACCAAAGACCTATCGGATCGGCACGTGAAGACAAACTTCAGGATGATTTTGATAAATTCGATGCACTGGGGCTTTGAGAGCGATTCGCCATGATGAAAAGCCGATACTTCTATTATCTTTCAATCCATCACCAATTTCTCCTTTGTTTTCTGCCCTTCTGTTGTGGGTGGGTGCCCTGCGTTTCTTTCCGTTGGCGTAACGGCATCGGTCTCCATTTCTCTCCATCTGTTTTCGTCTTATAGGTTGAACTTGATGAGTCTCTCTCCTGCCTTTCTTATTTCATATCTTTCTGTCTTTCCGGTTACTGTGAGTAAGTAGTAGGCGAGGGCTCGCAGCATATTAAAGCATATTATCCCGCCGGATGTTAGTAATTCAATAAAAAATTTCCCTGTGTGGTGGAAAATTACCCCGCTATGCGAATGGACGGAACGGGAAAAAAAGAAAAAAATCGAAAGTGTTGTGTTGTGTGGCAGATATATATATACCCTTGATTTAGAAACGGCTCTCCCAGTCCAAGAATGTTTCCCGATCCTTCCACCGCAAAACAACGCCATGAAAGATACGACGCTCGGATGGATCGATATACAAATCGCGAAGATTTCCGCCACGGCTTTCAGCTTGAGTAATGGCTCGCCATCGCGCAGTTGCAGGCGACCGCCACCACCGCCACAAAAACGCCGAGGGTGTATCGGGTATAATCTCTAATGGCTATGCAAGCTGCGTCTGAGGAGGAGAATTGTATATTGCTAGGTAGAAACAAATATCGCCCCTAGAATTTGGCGTTATTAACGTGGCTATTAGATATGCGTAGAAGCACTAAATCCGGTGTTTTTATCCCTACGGCCTTAGTTTCACGAGTTTCCCGAGTTTCCCGCCAAGTCCACAAAAAAAGATTTCGGCATCCGAAAATCGGTGGCATTGACGCTTCGAAAGCCTCCTCGGCCAATGGCTTGCTCTAGAATTCCCTAAACTATCTTGATGTAGCCGGAAAGCGAAATGCGGAACGCCTATAGACCGGGGAATAGATGTAATATATCGGAAGGAATTCGCCCGAGGTCTCCCACCAGCCATTCGCATAGTCCCAAACTATATCAGGAAGGGCCTTCCTAAAGACTCAATCCCTCCAATCCTCAAGGGAAATATATGGACGCTTTTGCTATTCCTTCTTTTCTGGGAGGATGTATCAGACATCACTCTCATGTCCAATAATCCCGCCACCTATAACCCAACCACCCACTACCAAGTCAAAACATCACCCATCAATGTCTTTTCCTGGCCGTTCTCGATCCTATATCCTTCGTCGTTCAGTTGTTACCGCAGGGTGTTGGCTGACTGTGTCGTTGAATATCACCTCCACGTCGTCATTTTATGCGGAGGGAATCGTCCTTATTTATATTCCACATACGGATGTTGCCACCACCACCCGATGGGCTAGCCTGTGAAGGGAGGTCAAAACGTTGGAACAAACACATTCGTCATACACCGAGCCGGGGTATGGGCCATTCAGATCCCATTAAAACGGTCATATCAGTTGGCTTATGATCAAGTAGCCGATTATTTGATATTGTAGCGGGCACGGTCGTTTGTATGTGCGATGGGTGGGGTGGGTGACTATCAGGTGGTTATCGGCAAATTCGGCTGTGCGAAAGCAAATAGGATAGATGGAAACACGAAAGGTGTGTGTGCCTGTGTCTGTGTGTGTTGTGTGTTGACTAGCACATTATTAACAGTCATTGTAGAGAGGGGAAAACCCTCACTTTTGAATGAGACGACAAGCAGCTACCCATCAGATACGAGGCTATGGCTCAGAATGAATCGTGGACAACACGACCCTGTCCCTTGCTGCTGATATTCATGCATATTATTGGTAAGTACATGTACATACAGCACCATACCGGAAATTTTAGCGACGCCACAACGCTAAGTCTACATATGTGCATGTTAACAGTTATCAACCCTACCGGCCCTGTTGAACTAGAATGGTAGAGAGGACCGTATAAGGAAGGTTGAGTGCAGGAGGAGTCCAAGATTTTCTATCTCGTTTTCGCACCTCCAAAAATGAGGGAATATCTCATATAACCTGCATGGTGCGTGAGTGAGGAGAAATTGGGAGCAAAGACCTGGTAAGTTACATACTCTACAGAATGTTTTCCAGGAAGCTTGCAGATAGCTAATGCTGGTATGGGCATGGATATGATATGTACCATTTCTAGGTGAAGAAAAGCAAAAATACGGTACTTATCTTCAAACAACTACCGATTTTGACCTGGATATATCAGAACCCAAGACAATAAACCCGAGTCACGAATTCGCATTGATCATGAAGGGCTGATCGCTGGGCACGGGGCTTAAATACGTGGTGGTATATTCAAGACCTAGCATTACTTGAGCCAATCATGAGAGTAGAATGAGCTTCTTTCTTTGCTTTGGGTTAACTCCATTGTGCTTTTCATCCTCCTTGTAAAAAACTCCATGTGTTACCAAAAGCGAGTGATGAATTATGTACGATGTTACAGGTGGATGTACATACCGCTGTACATGAAGCTCAGCCCTGTAAAACCAAGAATTGTTTCAGATGAAATGAGTCCAGGGGGTAGGAAGAAACGTTAGATATCAGATACCTCCAACTACTGAGTTAATCGTAGATGAGATGAGGACGTTGCGGTACGTGGCAAGAATCAAGATCCACCTATTACACCAAACATGTATGTACATACACTGAGGAACGTCATCGCGCAACAATGTTACGGCTGAACTAAATATTAATGCAGTACCTATATTTACAAAAGAATTCAAACTGTGTATGTACCTTGAAACAGAAGTGAATAACCGAAGGGGATCTTCTTCTGCGAAAGTTGAATAATCTTTCTTGGGTACCTATTGAATTTGAAATATTCGCACAAGAAACATCCGCAGGGTTTATATCGTCTGTCCCAGATAAGTGTAACAGGGGTTACTACATTTAATGTGATATGACTTGAACACCCACCCCTCTGCAAGCCCCCAATGAGCTTTCTCTATCCATGATTTGCATACATCTATGTATGTAGTTATTAAAGTGATAAGAACTGTATATTAAACGATTATAATACAGGTGTCTGAACAATTCATTACTAGATATAGAGTACGCGATTGTCTTGATAAACTCAAATTCATGGCTAGCTAGGTAAGGCTTGTGCGTGTATGGTATGTACTCGGATCTTTTTTTAATGGTTTATTTTGTGCCGTTCGTTACTTGACCATCAAACCCAACCATTGGAAAGTGTCGTCCAGAACCCCACAAACGAAAATACAAACAGGCACATGACTTCACAAATAATCCTCCCGTGTGTTTCCTTGTCTGTTGGTTTCACGGCATAAAAAGTTCTGGGATTAATCTTCCATGCAATAGGATAAAAAAGCCTCATTGTATCAGGTCATTGCTAGAATAGCGGGGCATCTTTCCTTTCCCTCCTTTTCTTTTCTTGCCATGCAATAATCTAGAGAAATCGGCAGTTACCTCACCAGACAGCTTCGAACTTTGCCCACTCATCCGCCACAGCTCTAAATACTCTAACGCCTCCCTCGACCATGTCAGTACCCAACATATATTCTCCTCTTACAACTGTTTTCACGCCATTTGAATTCTGTTGCAAAACACCAACTTTGATTCCACCCTGAGGATCATACTGTACAGTCTCAACAACAGCAGTATGATTCTTGCACCCATTTGCGTCTTCCGGCGCTCCTGCTCGCATTTCGAAAATAGTCCTTCCAGTAAAATCTTTCCGAATCCATCTAGCAGAACGGAATTGTAAAACATCACCTGGCTGCAGGCTTGTACCAGGCAATACCGAAGGCTGGTTTTGCAGAGAAGGATAATGGGAAAATATGCAGATACCAAAACTTGTTCCTTGTGCAGACATTATTTTCTGCTCTCCAGCAACTTCGTCCTCCGATCGAAGACTATCAAAACAATCGGCAGCGAGTGTCCAACATTCACCATTACCTACCTGCTGACCAATTCTGGATCTGACCCATCCAATGATCCGGGTTCCCCATTCTTTCGGCGGCGGAGGAGAGGACGGAGGAGAGAAATGTCTTTGTTCTGCTTTAGCAGTAACACTTGGTGCGGAGGCATCCCAAGTGACTTTGATTTTGGTAGTAGAAAGATTGAGTGTCCATCGTATAACCAATATAGCAGTATGCTTAGTTCTCCCTGAAGGGCTGCGTTCCCAGGAACAAGAATATGAATACATTTTTTCGTCTATGCTCTTTATAGTTGGCGGAAGCTCAATTGGAGTTTTTGAAAACCATGCTTTTTCGAGGCAAAGATCGAGGTCTCTTGGCAATTCAGGGAATACTTGAGTTGGGAGACCGTTATTTTGGAGCACAGAGCATGATATTAAGTGAGATGGCCGGGTTGCGCGTGGGATTATGGGAGGTGGTGCCGTGACATTGTGAGGAAGCGAGTCAGTGGATGCTCGTTTGATTGGTAGCGGGGGTGCTGGCTTTTTTTTGGGCGGGGGAGGCGGCGGAGGTCTTTTCTTTCCGAGTCCAGAAAGATCCTGAACGACGTCCTGTATAACTGGAGATCGAGAAGGAAGCTCAGGGGAAGGTTGTTTTTTGGCGGGCAAAGCCGGCGGAAAAAAGGGAATGGAATTCCTCGGCACTGCTGAACTTCCACTCTCAATCTCAGTCCTTGAAGCATAAAGCTCTCCGTACCCCTGTATTTTCTTGTCTAATCCCATATCTTGTGCTTTTTTGTACCCTGATGCGACTTGATCCCCGTGCCGTTGCTGGAAATTTCTCCCAGTCCTCAAAGCAGCACTGGCATCTGTTAATGAAACCGAAGCTGGGTTTTTGTAGAATGCACTGGCTGTAGTCACGGCCGCCCGCTTCTCCGCAAAAGTTGTTCCTTCGGTAGGTACGCTTTGAGGGGCTCCTCTTAGTAGACCTGTGCTCGCAGAAGGTCTTGGTACGCTTGGAAGAGGCGGTTTCTTGGCCAATGATGAATCCGAGGCCATGTTAAATCCAGGTACCGAAATCCCAGCCTTACTAAGCCGTTCCACTGCAGATGTGCTTATGCTACCGGTTCTCATGTCTGTTACGTCCCGTGGTTGCGGTAGTACAGATTCATCTCGTGGCGGCAGTCGAGGCGGAACAGGCGGAGGTCGTTTTCCCGGTGAAGAAGCTTCACCATTCAACTGGTAATCCTCCCTATGGCTTGTAATTGGCATGTTTGTGACCCTTTTCGGTGGAGGTCCAAAACTTGCGGGATCACGAAGTGTAGAGACTGGTCGTACATTGACTGTGCTGTCGTTCTCTGATCCACCTTTACCCACCCATCCCGCCTTGTCAATTAGATTGAATTCGATAGGTCTAGAATGAAAAGACGTGTATATACCACTTGATCAAGTCCTTTAAAATTCTTTGTTAATCGCGAAGTGACGCCTCCACTACTGGATGTGGAAGATTTTGATTCTGCGGCACCGGCATAGGAAGGCTCGGAAGATGAATTAGGGTGCCAACCGGATTTTGAGATAGACTTGAAGCGGTCCATGAAGGGCAATTTTAGTATGAGAATAGGAGAAATTGAAAGGGTGGAGGTCAACACCTCGAGAAAGGACCTCTCAGTCATAATGGCAATGAAAGGGGTGGTGACGTATCTATTTGAGCTTAGTTATTATGCCACAGTATGCTCATAAACACAGTACATATGAGCACAGGTATCAAGTGTGCGCATGGAAGGGTCTATTAAGGCGAATACATGTACATACTTTAGATACATGTAACAGTATTCTTTGGAGGCCGAAAGGCCCAGGGCTTGTTTGGGAGTCGACCGTTGTAGCAAATATTGCCTAACCCCCAGCCCGTTAGTAGGGAATAAAACGGGGTGTGCCGTTTGGGAGTGATTTACAGCCAGTACTGGTTGTATTAATTGCATTTGGAAAGTTGACCCTCCACAACTCTGTTTTAGGCCGCTCTCAAACGGCCCTCAGTATATAATTATAGCCAGATTTATTTAAAAGCAAATTTGGCTGACACGGTGCTAGGTTAAAAACGTTATCACTTCCTAGGATTCTCTGCTTCTAAGGTCGCCAGAGTGCTCGCCTCAAAGTCTCCATTGAACCAGAAAATACTTTATATGGGACCTGATACAGTGATGGAGCTCTATCTCTGCTTATAGCTCAGGAGTCCTTTCAAGACTGCGTGCGGCATGTCAATATAGATGCATTACATATATAAGTACATGTATATAAGTACATGTAGAGACATAAACAATGGTTTATATATGTGGCTGGGAGGTAATATGTAATTCTTATCAAATGTATCATAACACTCATAGATACTCGCTAGATTAATTAATGCCCCTCGAACTAATCAAGCTAGTAGAGCCTTTAAAAATACTAATCTCAAAAACTATGATAGCTCACACTACATGTATGTAGTCATGCATCTAAGGGTACGTACCACAACCCCAGTACCAATACTAGAATATTTGATGGGAAGCTTATATCGGGAGCACTAGAGCTTTCGATCCTAGGCACAATCATTAAGCACATAGGTAAATGTTACTTGAAGACCGCCGATCAAGAGGATCCGTTTATTTGGACGCCGAGACTAACTCGCAGGATGTGTTTAATTTTGGCTGTGCTCGAGTTCGTTTCCCACTCTGAAGCTGGGAGGATGTCGACGTCTTTAATGCTTTGTAAGGTCATAGTATTGATTCTCGGTCAGAAGATTCCCCGAGAAGTTGAATAATTGTTCTCAGGGAAAATCGCCGCAGGGGGAATAACCCTTATCGTAGCCATACATGTAGTTAAACCTATCCTGAGCGCGAGGTATGTAACGGAGGAGTTCGATATTCCGTCAGAATCCTCTCTCTGTGGGGATATTAAGGGCCTGTTTGGTTGCAACGAAAGTCAATCCATGGATCACAAAAAAAATAAACCGAATTATTGCCATTCCATGGGTTGCAAGTAAAACTGGTGGTGTTTGGTTGGGCACTATTTTCCTCTCCATTAATCCTCATTATAATCAACTTTATAACTCTATCAGTATCACTCCAATTTCTATTTTTTCATGAGATATGACATCTAGTGATAGGAAAGATCATAGCCATGTAAGAATTGAGATTTTAGAAATTGTTGTGGTGGTGGCTTTGGGTGTGGTGTTTCTTAATTCATGCGAAACTATCCGAACTTTACCTCTGGAGGTGCTGTTCAGATTACGGCCTTTCTGTGGTTTCGCTCGGTTTCAGATGGTAACAGCTGTTGTTGGCAAACACTTCAAATATTTATTCCATGGATTGGGCTCAATCCATAGATTGAGCCCAATAATCGTTGCAACCAAACGGGCCCTAAAATCAGAACACCCGTAAGTATTGATGCTCAGGAACAAGGAGACGTAATATCCGTGTGTTTAATTCGTTAATGAGAGATGATTACATGTAGATAATAAGAAATACCCTGGAGTGCTTGTAAAGGAGCGAGTTTCATTGAGTTGGGGGTACAAGAGTCGACCACGATATGCGCTGCGCAATTATCTTCGCATGTGCTTACCAATGACCTCGTCATAATCGTAGTCTTAAAAGCGTCCCAAAAAGGCTAGCTAGCGTAAATAGTCCTCGGATTAAACAAATTCCGCTGTTGCTAGACTCATTATTTCGTCATAGATTAGATGTGGCGAAAAGACTGATAAACAACACTCCCCGCCCCGAAGGATGAAATTTGTACTCTACATGTATGGTATGCCCACACCGCAAAAAGGGCCAAGCATCAAAGCTAAAATGATTTTTGTTTCGACGGCCAGAGTCGGAGAGGAGCATCTACAATTTCATCAGAACTAAACCTTCAGTTGTGGTTGGTGTGTTAGTACTTCGCCCACCTTACTCCTGCCGGCGTGGGTTTACGACTTATCGCACCATACATGTATGGTACGAGCACATCCGACTCGATACAATAGGTACTGCAGGCAGAGAAGGTATACCATTTATTGTATTTGATATAACTAATATTAGACCTTAGTATCGTTGGAAAGATAAAGAAAGCTCACGAGAACAAGGAGAAAAACATACCGAATCTATGAACAAACCTAAGATTCATGGGCGCTTCTACCACACACCCCGAGTCGCTCGGAACCCCTAATCATCTGGATCCGGATAGTCATTGGTTAAATCGAAATTCCACCAGTCCCCCGGCCAGCGGCACAAACGGGTATGTGAGTGGTGAAAGGTACATGTATTGATATGCAGGGACTATTTTGACAAGTTAGGCTTGGTGATTTCAACATCTAGAGCTATAGAGTACATACTAGAGTCCTTGAGATTCAGCGCCGATGCCAGCAAGGCACATAACCTTATTCCAGCGTTTCCTGTACGAATAACGAATCGACTTATTATCACTATCACCGTCATGTTGTACTGGGTGAGTCTAGTCTAGAGATGATCTATGGGTTATGGATTGTTATGTCGGATCGGCGGTGTCACTCAGTTGCAAATCGCAGGAGCAGAGATCCCGATTAACTGAAACACCATTATGGAAACCATATATTGCTATCCCCAATGGAAAAAGGAAGCAATAAGAAACAAACAAACAAATATGTGGGGGTTGAATACGTTAACAATCTGTTGAGGGAAACCAAAAGGTTGATAAAAATCTTCACCATCTAGGCGGTCGGCTCGAGCCTCAGGTGTAAGAAATTTTATGGGGGGCTCTCAGGGACGTTCATCTGCATCATTGGAGGATCAAATTCAACCCAATCCTCCAGTTCATCTCCACTCCAATCCTCGATTGACCCATACACTATACTATCTGGGCTTTCTCCGTCATCTTTACCCCACGGACAGTATGGCCTTCGCTGTTGTTTTCAACACTTCCATTAGTTGACCTTCGAAAAATACATTGCAATCGCGATATTCGCTACCCTCATCACTCTCTATGTCACCGCCTTCGTCGTCTTAGTCGTTCTCGTCGTCCCCATTGCAAACTTCCTCAACTACTTCGTCGCCTTGAACTTTTTATCGAAGGGTTCTTCATTTTGCTCGTCTGAGGACTCACCACAAGATATTTGGAGATATCTCGTAGGGCGAGATGGTGATAGTTGTTAGAATGAGGGGTTGGTACTATAAATAGTAGTGACTCGACTTACAAGGACCCTAGAACTTGCCTCTATGGCCGATGAATATGGGGTATATCTAATTGCAATTATATTACTCTGGGGAGAGCCGTGTACTATAGAGTCTGACTGACTGATTTCATACATCCACCCTCCGCTGCTGGAATTGTTTATCAGTGGGGGCTACCATGCACACTTCTTATCGGTATACTAGAACACCTATTAATCCGACTTTCGGTTATAATATCGGGTTCTTAAAGGTTATTTGAAGTCAAGGTGCCGTTGCGATAAAGGTCACTCCCCTGTAAATACAATTCTAAGGGCTTGCAGAAAGATATACTAAAGCAAAAAATGCTGGAAGAGAAGGTCGAAACAAAGTTCCAAAATATGACGGCATTGATCATTCTACGAGGAGTCACTCGCACCCCATGAAGAGAACGGTTAGTTCTGACTCTATATCCAAGGGCTTCAAGAACAGCTACTCCACGTCCAGCCATTTCTTGGATATCTGTTCAGATAGCGACATTAGCGGTCGACAGTCTATTTGAATTAACGTACATTGCCTTACAGTATCGGCCTTAGGGGCTTTATAACCCCATGCGTGATCTGAATAGCAACGACCTGGTTTGGTCCCTTTGTGGAAGCCATAAGATGGAACAAGTGTTTATTTTGACAGCATTGATGTTCTCTCCCAGCGACGAACGCACCCTATTCAGGAACGCAATAGTATACCGGAGCGTTTAAAAATGGGGCTTCCTATACAAGAATACCCCAGTTTTTCTATATAATTGATCTAGTTCTTGAGCCTACATGTAGCTGTTAGTTATTGAACATAGCTGGCAGTCATTGAACATAGTTGGCAGTCAGTGAACGTAGTTGGTGGACAATCTTCTATTATTTAATGACCTGTAGCAGAATAACTACCTCCAAGCTCTCGTCACTACATGTAGTCGCTCATATAATTGAGCCTTTGCGCAAAAGATTCCAGCTTTAAATTTATATTATCTGGTTGGCTGATGGTAGGATCAGTACCAATCAGGTTACCGGAAACATAACTGGCTCTGTTTGCGCAAAGACTCTATTATAAAGTCTCCCAGAGGACATTAATTAGTTGAAGGTACAGCCACTCTGCAAAAGTCTTCGTGATTTAGTTTTAATGTCAGTGCGCAATGTGGCGCACCCGTGGAGTTGATGTTATTAATGTTGAGATTCAAAACAACGAAAAATAGCTAATATAGTTCGTGACTGTATATAAAAGAAAGTAGGTCATTAATCACCTTCAACATTGATTTCGGGCGCCATTGTCACTAGGAAAGTCTTCTATTGGGGGGTTTTGATGGTCCGCCAAGGTTACATATGAAGAAATGTCTCACTCCGAAATCGGAATCACGAATACTTTTGCAGAGTGGCTGTATATAGTGCCTAAAGCTCATAATTAATATAGCTTGCAATTGGAACACCTTTCCGATATAACAGTGTGTTCCCAAATGGGGTGCTAAATTGATACCTCATTCGTGAATAGGATGCCCTATCCACGACCGTTCCCGAATGGGGCGTGTTTGTCGCTGGGAGAGAACATAGAACATATCAGCAGTGCATACATTATGGCCTCATAATGTCTAAAATATAGATAGCAACGCTTAGTGGTGGTTAAGGATGCGTGAGGGATTTACATTAATCTATCACCGTGGATTCCAATATTGGCCTGAGTGGCTGAGGAACACCCCACAGTTTCTTTCAAGTACTAAACCCCGCCCGTACATGTGCAGTCACCTGGGCACTCTGGAGCTCGATCGAAAGCTTTGGGGGTTTAAATTTATGCACATATATATATAACATTCAAATTTAATATATTATAAATTATGATGCGAGACACGTACATCGACCATTGATGTTGGAATGATACCATATAGATACTTGTAGGCACTAGTCAGAATCATTCGCATCTCGTTCATTGACAATCATTTTGCAGTAGCGTATCACTGCATCCGGGTGTAGAGAATCTAAAGATAGCATTATTAGGGCTGGAGCTAGATGTAAATGCTGCAAGGATTGATCTTGTGTGTGCGCGGGATTTATTAAGCCACAGTATTCTACAACCTGTACTTACATGTATTTGTACATACATACATACATGTACATCTTATGTACCGTAGATTTCATATGAGGCTTGCGTGTATAAGACCACTATCCTAATGCCAGCGTAAGGGCCATCTGAGTGCGGTAGTTGATGAAATCAGACCAAACGAATACACAACTAAGAACTAATGCACTATATGGTTACCTTCAGCTAGTTGGTATATATACATACAATGGCGGAAAATGGGGTGTGATTAGAGCAGTAGTAGTCTTGTAGTGATGCGGCTTTTATGAGCATTAAGCTTGCTCATTCGGCTCGGGTTAATTCAGTATTCATATGAATACTATAATTGCAAACAAAGGTTATTTCATGCAAATAAGCTATCCCAAAAGAACGGTATGCTCAAAAAGGCCGTACCAATACTGCTAGCTAGCTGGTCACACAATTGAGTTCTGTGACCGCGCTAGTATCAGGGTATGGTACTAGGCCAGACCTACACATGAATGTACGCGTACCTACAACCCTCGTATCTATATACATACATGTAGACTCATCCCTCAACCTCCCTCGCTTTGATTTCATCATGTCATGCCATCGATGGAATTGCCAAATTGTAATTCTCAACATACATATGTACAAGAGGAATCTTCAGAACACCTACTACTTGTATTAGTTTTCAATTGTATATCGGAGACCTGCTAGTTTCCAGACCCCTACTATGCTTTTGAATATTTTGGTATTTTAATGGTATATTAAAGGTATACTGGTATGGCGTTTTCTAAAACCCCGCTTTTTTCTAAAAAAACAGCTTGTGACCAAAATGACCCTTTTTGAAGAACACCAGTTCTCTACTGTATGTTAAAAAAAGTGCTTCTATAGAAATACGTTTCTTTGAAAAGTCGGTGTCTTTGTTAATATGGTTTTACTACGTCACTTTTAAACCTGAAAAACTTGTACGGCTCTAATCACACCCGGGTTTCCCGTATTGTATATGTAGTCCAATACATGACCTGGTTAGTACATGTAGTCACGTTTGACAGCACCACCGAGATACCTTTACGTACTTGATATCGATGAGATGAACGATAGGATTTGATTATTAATGTACATTGTATGCATGTCATTGCAGGATACATACAAGGGAAGAGGTTAGGGAGGGAGATCTAGAGCTTATAATGATTGAGCTATTACCCTATTAGGAGGTCAAAGCGGTTACAAGTGACTTCACCTGGAATAATGTGATATTTGTATGCTGTACTCATGTATGTGCATTAAGCAGGTAACAGAGGATTGAACTTTACGAATGCCAGGAAGTTTGAAACAACGATATTCCGTGGTTCTAAATCACTAATCCAAGCGCTTACTGCTACCGCAGCTGCAGCTAGCTAGAGGGCGATGTATATCTCCACACTTTCCTACCACATATTCTGCGTAATCTCCGAAACAACCTACGTGTTCTAACTACATTTAGATATACGTGTACCCTTGTAACCAGCTGCCATGTTTCTTGATCTGATAAGGACCTACTTATATGATTGAAATCTGATAATGGTACATACATGCAGGTACAGTATGAAAAAACGAGGTGAAACCATTACCACAGGACTGCGGAATTTAGAGCATAATACGGAATTAAATCGGTATTTCAAAAAGAATACCTATCAACACCGTATTCTTGCTGCATTACTAGCCCATTAACGGGAATACCGAAGCGAGTGCACACCTATTTTTGGTACTGTAGCTACATGTATCTACATGTACGTATGTACTTGTCTATGTGTGTTTGGAAAGCGAGCAGCCTGTGAATGAGTCTCAGTCTAAAGTAAAGTAATAAGAGCCATTCTATATCTGCTGGGTCGTCCACGTCGCTATTGGGGAAATCTGGGGAACTACATGTAGGTATATGTGCTTGTGCAAGGGTGAGTGAGAAGACACCTCGCTGTGGAGGCTGCGCGAAGGATGTCTTCTCATTACCCCCCCGAAGTACATCTCAGTTACATATATGCACATGCATCAATCGATCAATTATATAAAGTAGACAGTATGTACTATAGTACTACATGTATACGTGCCTCCGTGACCCTCGAGGACCCGTTAATTTGACAACGTTGATTGACGGATTTTGGTGGAAAATCACTATATGTGGTAATGATAGAGTAACTTTGTTTTCTCAATAAACCCCTTTGCAACGGAATCTGGCTGCTGGAACACCTAGCTCGTTCCCGGCCCCGATGCTGGCTCTCAAATATTGGTATGGGCTGCCCACTTGCACAGAAAGGGTTGTGCAACACCAAATATTAGGCTGGTACGAGGTCCTCCCTATATAATCTTCGAGCTTGGCGCTCTGGTGCCTAATGAACGGTTGCATGGGACGAAAACCCATTTTCTCGAGACCCAGGATCAGTGGATATTCTTGGTTGCACTGACACCGATACTCCTCAATCGAGAACTAGGCAACAAGAGCTTGGCATATCCTTCCTGCACAGCCGCGTAGTACCGGTACATGTTGAGGGTATGAAACAAATCTCCATTGGGGCCTTGCTGAATAATGGTGGGGTGGGGCTTCCTGTCTACCCATTCAGTACAAATAGTGCCCTGCCTCCTTTGAATGGAACCTATTGCGAATAATATAAGCAAAATCTAGTACAAGTGGACACGACGATTTGACTACCAACTAAAGCCTGCAAGTTAATCATAATTCACTACATCGCTGCAGTCACTATATACCGATAAAAAAAAAAGACGAATCTAACGCCTCAAAGTACTCAAATCGAACAACTCCAGCAAGTTCAAATGGCTAGACTTGTTCTATTCATGCGGAAATCCGTGGGTGGCATACGTAATGGCATCAAAACTTACAACAAGAAATCGATTGTTTGCCAGGCATGTAACAATACTGTTCACATAAAAATACGCATAGTGATGAAGTTGCTTGTAACACAAGAAATAAAATGTGCTGGATGTCGGGAAGTCGCTTGCTCTACCGCCGATCCGTTGACGGGGACAGCAGCTGAGGGGGATAGCCCAGAGTCACCGAAATCACCATCTCTTGAAACAGTATGTTTCTCCTCTCCTCTCATTTCTTTTCACGGAGTTTGTTAACTTATTGGTAACTTCAGCGGATCATGAATTCTCAAAACGATGACAGCAGAGAGCGTTGGAGTTACGGAGGAGACGGTGGACGTCCGGCATCGTATGCATCTTCGAATAATCAGGCTGATAAAACACAATCACAATCCCAATTGACGTTGAGGTTCGAGGGGGAATCGTCAGAAAAAAGATATAATGAAAGCCCTCGAGCATCTTATGGAGATCGGAACTCGACATCATCTAATGATGGCACAAACGATTATTTCGAAGATCAGTGCTCAAATGTTGGACAATACAGCAATAGGAGTATTAGGAGTTCTTACGGCCCGGTCCGGAAACCTTCATTGTCACACACAAACTATAGGTTAGACCTGTGCTATGGAGCGAGTGGAGGGTCACGTACATCGAGCTCTTTGGCAAGCTGTTCAAACTGGGTATATAATACATCATTATCCGGACTTTCACACATAGAACAACGCCCACCATCCATAAGCGATTCATACTCTGTTGAAGAGAAGACTTTAAAAGAGAATAAACATCCAGCCACAGTTGATTTGGGCAAGGTGGAAGACGGACAGACATCTCCTATGTTGGGTTATCGGGGGAGTACAAGCTCCACTGATCTAATATCCGGAAAATTCGAGCCGAGAAGACGCAGCAATCACTCGGCTCATCTGTATTCATCCGTGGTAGAGCTTGATAGTAGTGAAAGGCACCCAGGGTTAATACTGGTTTCTGATTCAGACAAGAGTATCCGCAGCAGCACCTCGGATAAACGCCTTGGAAAGCGCAACTCAATGCATCGAACAGCACTTTCTCGGAGTCATAACCAGAAAATTGTATGTATTTTTAATTCTTCTGCTAAGAAAACCTGTGGATGTGCTATGCGAATATTTTGCTGATCTCATGGAATGAATTAGGAGCAGCAGGATGAGCAGGAACAGCAGCACAAAGCTGAGAAGATTAACGCCAAGAGAAGGAACAGTTTAAGTTCCGATTTCGAGGTAGTGCCAACTGAGGAAGAGGTTCGAAGAGCACGAAAAATTTGGAGTGAGACACAGAAGAAAAACCCACCAAATGGCCGGGAGGACCATCTCATCCAATGGGCCCGAAATACCCTTCGAGCACAGGCGAATTGGGAGAAATTGGGATATAATAATCCTCACACAAGAAGCGTGGAACAGCTACAACTAAGGCCTGGTGGAAATATCGAATCACCAATGCCAATCTTCTACCCAGATATAGATGCCACACGCTATTTTCTGCCCTCTTCACCACAAAATATGTCGCCAAGGATGTCACTTCTTTCTTTACAGTCCCTTCCAACGCCAGTGAAAGAAGAACCAGAGGGTGACTCCCAAGGTGACCAACTCGATGGAACTTATTCCCCCTTATATAATTCCTCCGGACTCCCAGGAAGCCTACCACGAAATACTAATCAAATCCCGATCGCACGTTCAGATAAAACGCCGACTCATCGAGATGAGCCATCGCCGACATCAGTGGCTGGCAAGGAAGGGTTAGATGGCAAGATCAACAAAAAGAATCTTTCCACAGGCAGGGCAAACTTGTCAAAGAATTTTCTGCCAGGATACAAAAACATCAATAAACGATGTATGAGAGCCCTCAAGAATATAACAGGAAAGACATTGCGTGTTCCTGTGCCCAATTTACCACTATCTGTACCTTCGTCCCCTGCGCCCGTTCCGACATCGCCTCCTCCAGTTCCATCTACCACTCAACCTCAATCTGTTGGTACTTCTACCGTTGAGGTTTATTCAGCTTTAGACCCTAATGATCATGTTCTTGAAGGACCTCGATCATCCGGTGTTATTCGTGATTTTTCAGCCAACGAAGAACCGCTTCGGCAAGCGGAGGATGATATTGCCGCCAGCATTGGGTTCATGACGAGTCCCTTATTGGAGATACAAGTTCAACTAAGGCAGGATTTATTTGCTAGAGGACTTGCGTAGTTGTTTTGTCCGAGATTGGGGAGGCACTCAACAATGGACTACCCTCGAAGTATGAGTTTCAAGTTTCAGGGATGAATGGTTACGAGCTGTTTCATGGGATGCAGATCCACTTCTTGTATATGCATGGTTGGTAATTTTTAATCCTTTTCTGTATTACATTGAATGGTGGTTTATTTTGTCTATTTCATTTTTTTTATTTGAGCTCGGATATATGTACGGAAATTTATCAGGCGGAACCATGATCACCCCCCCCCCCCCCCCCCCATTTTAATTTTAATATTATCGTAACGCAGCCTAGCTGTAAATACATGTGCATGTACATGTACGCAAACACTCCACTCATCACGAAATCATCAAGATGCCCGATATATATATCAGTTTAATTTATATAATAATCTTAGGTTATGATAAGATTAACTACATCTATCTAAATAGCATACATGTAGTCATTCTCATCGTCGATATCACAGGCCTAGGAAACATTTAGATTAGTTATGTAATTTTACCATTGAGCAAGGATAGTTTAGAAAAGATCCAGCATCTTGGAACGAAAATGTAGATATGTAGGTGCATGTAGCTCATAACCTAAAACCAAACCTTGCACGCTTACAGTCTAACATCTAGCTATAGTAGAGAAATCTCTGAGGTTTTGGGAAGTCAATGGTTGAGAATGCAAGATAAGATGCGAACTAAAGATTTACCAAGGAATTTAAAACAGTACATGCGTGTACCTACATGTAGTAGTACACACCCAATCCTGTGTTAACCCTCATTTTGTTCTCTTCTGGATCGGAGTTCAACTATTTGTATCACATGTATTCTGGCATAACCAAATATGCCCAAATTTTTGCCCTTAGGACGATTGTTTCTAAGTTGCGACCCGATCAGGCCGCGACATATAGTGCCTTATAATATCACAGAGTTCATTTCTTTACCATCTCAGCTCTTTCCCGTACGAGAGACCACTACATAATAGCTCAAAAATGACCCTCTAGAAAGATATATTATGTAGTCCATTATCCGCATTCCCCTACAATCAGACCAAGAATCTGAACCCCTTCCTCCTCCCCCCTACTTCTTCCGCCGACTCGGGCTGCTCGGAATCCGGTACAACATCTGGCACGGGGAGGCCCTCATCAAGCCTTTTATTCAGTCTCGTTAGATGGATCCTCAGGATTGTCGCTGTCAAGATGCTGATGAAGGTCATTGCGGTGTTGACGCTCATTGCGACGACGTATCTGGGCCCAGCGGATTCTGGCCGGTTGTTAGGTATCGGGGAAAGAAAAAAGAGGAGGGGTAGGAGAAGACGAGAAAAGCATACTTGGGTACATATACGCGGACCAGATCTGGCTCGAGTTGGAAACGGCGTTGATTGCGGCTATTGACGCGGCACGCTTCGCGGGTGGGCGGGGGAGGATATTGGAGATCCAAGACAAACTGACAACGTAGGACTATATATCATATTAAGTTAACTTGAGTTGGGGGCTGGGGTGTGTGCGCGTGTGTACTGCATACCGTGTAGATTCCGGGAACCATGAGCATCATGGAGACTTCAGAGAGAATGTTAGTACCACTCCCTTCTACCTTTCCTATCAGGTAGAGCTGATCTGATCATGACTTACGATAACGCGGGCCCAGAGCTGTAGTGCTGGCGGCGATGATGAAGGCAACTAAGGCAACCTTTTTGTCCAATTATCACCAAAGTTTCCCAGGCGGGGTGGTTTCAGATCGGAAGAGTGCTAGTTACCCATAGTGGCAGTGTTATATGCCAGTACCTTTCACCGGTTTTGTCCGCGTGCAGAGCATTCGAAAAGGCTGTGAACATGCATAAAACCTGTAGATGTGATCGAGTGAGAATTCATGACTCATAAACTGGGGAGATGATATTTGCTCACATATGGCGGCGCGGTGAGAAGAAGTGAGATTGTGCGGCTATAACCAAGTGTTGCTACGACGCTAATTGGGTTATAATATAAAGCGTTAGTTACGGTGTACGTACAGGAGATAAACCGAGGAAAGGGTCGTTGGTTACGTTGGGAAGAAGTTGGTGACTGAAGCGGCGGCGACCATGGTAAAAATGCATAACATCTAATGGAGGTCTTTCGTTAGACACGCGTTCCCCTTGATGATACCAGTTTAAAATGTCGTCTTACCAAAAGGTATGTTTTAACATCACTACGTGTTGTTAATTCCCCTGTTAGCCAACGAAGCACTGGACATCACACAAGAAAAGAAGCAAGCTCGCCAAAAACCTACACCATAGCCAACTTCAACCCATGGAGTAAGTTTGGCTTTTCTGAACCTGTCAAATCACTCTCTCCGATATCTACCTCCAGCCTCCACATAGCCATGTCTCTTTCTTGCGGGCTGAGCCATTTCGTCGTGCTCGGAAAATCTGGAATTATAAAGAATGCAGCGGCTGCAACAACGACCTGTTGTATATCAGTTACCCCGAAAAAATGTCCGGAGAACATATGTAGAGAGAAACTTACAGTGACAGCACCCTCGAGAATAAAGAGCCATCGCCACGCGAGGATCCCGCGGACGCCGTCCATTCCATCTGTTATTCCAGCTGTGAGAAGGCCCGAGAAGGCCCCGGATATCAGGGAGCCAGAGTACAAGAGTGCTGTTCGGAACCCGAGCTCTTTACGAGTGTACCTGTTTCCACATCGCATTAGATGTTTAATTGGTTCAAATACGGTGAAATAGCTTTTGGGGATTTACCAGGACGAGAGATAAAACAGGCACCCAGGCTAAAGAGCAGGTCAGCATCAGTCAAAAAATCATAAACAAATTGAAGACCAAAGATTTACATACAAAGTAAGCAGCTTCCACGAATCCCAGCACAAATCTATCAGACGCCAAAATCAGCGGCGATTTTTTTTAGCGGCGAAGCCGGGCGGGGCTTGATAGTAAATTACCTGCAAGTCACCAACCCCGCAAAGTTATGTACTCCCCCTGTGGCCCCGGAAATGACACCCCAGACCATCATGCAAGTAGGTAGATATATCGACGGTCTTCCGATCTTGTCGAGATACATATTCGAAGGTACTATTTACGTTCCCAGTTAGAAATCGCATGAACTAACGACATTGTTTGAGTAAAGATAATTGCGTATAGCTACATGTACCTACCCTGCATCAGGATATACCCCACAAACAGAATACTCACACAAGTCTAGTGGAACAACACCCCCCCCGAACCTCCGTTAGTCACTGTTCCACCACTCTGGGTGGAGAAAAAGAATACGCACCTGGTACTGCGTGCTTGTTAACTTTAATTCATCCTCCAATCCCGCCAATCTTGCCGCGGCAATGTTATTACGGTCCAAGTAATTTAGGATATACATCAAGATTAACATCGGCATCAGTCGCAGATCAATTTTTCTACGCAACCTTTTTTCGAGGGCTAAACTTTCTTCGGGGGAAAGGTTCCGGATCCCAACAGGCGGCAGGCGATGGGTGGTGACATTGTTATCGGCTTCAGAAGTGGAGACTTTGTCGACGTCGTCGACGTCGTCGGCGGAGGGATGGGGTAGGGTGGCCATGGTGATCGATCACGGATAGACTGGTGGGATTCTTTGATCCAGAAGAAGAGGAAACGACGGGGAATTGCTCAAGGTTAAGTTAAGTATGTTTTATTTCATTTCTACTCCCAGGTTTCTAACCCAGCTGCGGTATCCGGGAAATGAAATCTTGACTGTCTGGTAGCTAGGCTAATATAATCTGTGTCTGCAGGCTGGGGCCGAAAGCTTCTTTGCGTAATTAATTAATTGGGGCAGACATCGTTGCGATTGCGGGGGGGGGAACACGAAATTATATGCATTGTACCATTATACAAATTACGTGACCTACCCTCCGGGCCAGGGCCCCACGGACGTCTTCAAACATGCAGGTTTTCCACCTTCTTCTGCGTAGATTTATAACCACGATGAGGTCCCAAGACATTTAGCCGAAAAACAAGCGTGTTGATGCTACTAATTACGCACCAAACAGGGAAGGCGGCCGGTCCGGGGAAGTGGTTCCTTGCTTCCGGTTGCCCAAAGAGGAATGAGCAGCACCTCGAGGCAGAGTAAACATGATTTAGGATATGATTCCGTATGAATGAGCATTCGGGTATGTGAGGATGTCACCTGAAGCGAGTATCGCCTCTGCGCTTTGCGTAGCTATTGGGCCAGGAAGCATAGAGCAGAGTACCTAGATGTATATGCATCTTTGTGGACAGACAGGGATTTGTACAGTATTGAACACCGTACCGTCAACCTGTTTTGAAAATGATTTCGAGTAGAGATGCATGTGTATATATCTAGGGCTTGCTCGAAGCTTGATGTGAATCCGAAGACCTGAAGACGTAATGTCGTGTAGGCCCTGCAGCCCTAACCCCATCGTGTTCAATCTGGGAAATATGCCCTTGTGGATCACGAACATCTTTGGCCCCCACCGAAACTGGTGAGCTCTTATTCGCAGTAATCAGCATATCTACATGTACCCTAACGGCTCTAGACCCGGAAGTTCCATCAGGATTAGCTTATTGGTGGATGGATACACAGCAGAAGTTATGTACTCTACATACATGTATATAGCAGTTACTCATACACCTATCACGCCGACATTTTGTAGGGTACCGGGTGCATGTATCGGAGATAATAACCACCGGATCATTGGTTTTCCGAGACGGCGGGCTAGAGCAGCGGCTGTAGAGTAGAAGAGTATATGACATCGTGAAAAGCTTGTTTGGCCGCATATCCACACATGCTGCGAAACTCTTGCGCCTGCCAGCCCAGCCAGCCACTACTAAAGCTTAACCCGCCGGCCGAGCCAAGTACTAGACATCACATATTGCGTACATGTAGCCACTGTTGGTTGGAACAAGTCTTCCCTTCCGGCCTTTCTTTCTGCCTTCCTCCTCCCTCTACGTCTACGGACTACATACGTACCCATCCACCCAATCCATATCATCCGAGTAGACAAGTCAAAAAAAAAAAAAAGAAAGAAAAGAAAAAAAAAGAGAGAGAGAGATGCCCGCTGTAAGTTTCAGGTACAGCCGGATGTTTGGTTTGGTGCCCCCGAATCGGGTAGTGGCTCTCCGTGGTAAGCCTTGGTGATCAACCCCCGGGGGAGACAGCAGATGTTTCGAGCTGGAGGGAGTACGCGCGTCAGATAGGTACTCTGCATCTCTAGAAGTAGGTACTCCTAGAATACTACTGGAGAGGTACCGGATAGACAACAGCAAAGCAAAGCAAGTCAAAGCAAGATGACGGCAAACCCCCCCTGAGTAAGGTCCATAGTCTAGTTTGCGTGGTCGAGGGATCCGGAGGGTGCGTGTACTCACTTTACTTAGTCAGTGTCAGTCGTCACCCTCCCCTTTCCCTGCGCGGAAAGTTTATCTGTGTGGCGTCCGGGTTTGGATTTAAGCTTTTCGGGTTTGAGATCTGGCTTGGGTTGGTCTTGTTTTTGGTTTTTGTCTTGTCACATGGGTGCGGTTTGATTTGATTTCAACCCGGCGGCGGCGGCGGCGGCGGTGGTGGTGGTTAGTGGTTGGTGGCACTTAGTGGAAGGATTTCGGAATGTTCTGGTGCTACTGCTACGTGGGATTTGAAGTGAGATGTGTAGATTTGGGATTTGACTAAGGCTTTACGAGTGAGTACCTACACTGAGGTGGATTGGTATCACGTTTGAAACTTCTTGCTCGCAGATAGTAGGATGGTTGTATGAAGCAGTGGTATGTAGTAATAGTCGTAACATGTATATTCTATCTCAAGCATGAAGTATGATTCGTTACAATCATCATGTAAATACAACATGTACCCCGTAAGATAAGAGTTAAAAAAAAGCTACATAAAAAAAGGACATTTTTTGTTTGCCGGGCAACCCAGACAGACCCATTTATTGCAAGAAAAAGGAAATCCCCATCCACCCAACCAAACCCAACCAAACCCAACCAACCCAAGGAGTCCCCCTAACCCATCATGACATTCGTTACTGCGAAACATGCAATTTTTTTACATTTTTGTCTGATCCTCCACGATCGTCCCACTCCTGCTGCTCCTCCCACTGGCCACACCGCTCTCAAGGCCCTCCTCGAGATCGGCCTGCACCCTGTTGAGGAACTTTGCCGAGCCAATCTTCTTCCACCTCTTGATTGCCTTCCAGCTCTCGACGAGCGCCAGATATGTGGCCGAGCACCCCACGACGACACCCCACTCCCAGGTGATAGCCATGTGCTTGAACACCACAGTGTTGAAAGTCGGGATGTAGATGACAGGGAACGTGATGACGAAGCCAGCAAAGACGGCCCAGAAGAGGAACTGGTTGTACCACAGCGTGTGGATGATGCTGAAGGGGCCGCGGTGGCGCGCCGGGTCAAGGTTGAAGAGTGAGCGCGAGAAGTGCTTCACCTCCCAGGCGGTCAGGAGCAGCAGGAAGGACAGGACGGCGAAGACGGTGGCACGCGCGCGGAAGACGTCGATGCAGGTGTCGTTGAAGGCGTGGTTGCAGCCGTGGCCGAGATTGCCGTTGCCGTAGCCGTAGATGACGATGACGAAGGAGACGAGGCAGAGGACGCCCATGAAGACACCGTAGATCATCTTGTCGATTATGACTTCCCATGTGAACACTCCGGCGCGTAGATCGTGAGGGGGGCGGGTCATGATGTCGGGCTGGGCCTCCTCGAGACCTAATCCGAGGGCAAGAAATGAAGATGTGATCATGTTGACCCAGAGAATCTCAAGAGGTGACAGGGGGAAGACGGAGACACCAGATGAGTCGGCAAAGGCGAGACCAATGAGAAGAAGGACGACTTGGGAGATGTTGGAGATGAGAAGATGCATGATGAACTTCTGGATGTTATCAAATAGACGTCTCCCTTCCTCAACAGCGCGGACGATGGAGGCAAAGTTGTCGTCAGTCAAGACAAGGTCCGAAGCATCCTTTGCGACATCACTGCCGCTGAGACCCATGGCGATACCGACATCTGCTCTCTTCAAAGCGGGTGAATCATTGACACCGTCACCAGTCATCACACAGAAGGCGCCACGTCTGTGAAGCGCCTCAACCATGCGGACCTTGGTGGCAGGAGAGCAACGGGCGATAACCAATGGCAACGCCTCGAGTTTGTCGATATCGTCTTCGCTCATCGCGTCAAATTGTCCAGCAGTCATAACAATGGTGTTGGCTTGCGAAGCCGGGATAGCAGGAGACAAAATTCCAACTTCGTGAGCAATAGCAGTGGCAGTTCTGATATGGTCTCCGGTCAACATGTGAACCTTGACACCAGCGACCTTGCACTTGCGGACAGCATCGAAGGTCTCCAAACGGGGAGGGTCATAGAGTCCAACAAGTCCGACAAAGCTCATACCACTTTCAACAGAAGCGCGGTTATCAATCACGCTCTTCTCGCTGGAAGGTAGGGTCTTGTGAGCGGTACAAAGAACACGGAGACCTTCACCAGCAAGACGCTCGACCAAGTTCATGATCTCGGCCTTTTCAGATTCAGGGAGGTTCAAGGTAGGGATAACAACCTCGCCAGCTCCCTTCATAAAAGCTTCGACGGTGTTGCTGCCTGTGTTCTTGTAAACAACGCTCATACGCTTGATAGTGGAGTCAAAGGGATGTTCAGCAAGCTGCTCCCAGTTGCCGCTTGCAATAAGATCCGGCTTCCCATGGTTGAATCTCATGGCAAGGACCTGTAGGGAGATTTCAGTGGGTTCACCATCAGCGCTCCAGGTACCAGCAGGCTTCTCAGAAGAGATTGATGTATCCTCGTTTTGCCTGACGACCGAAAGATTGCAAAGGGCAATAGCATCAAGGAATTTCTCCAATGCAGGCGCCTTTGCGACAAAACCTCCATCGACGACTGTGTCACCGATGGTACAGTTTCCAGAATTGGGGTCGAATGGAGAAGATGCATCGTTGACAGTCAACATCCCGTCAAGACCAGGAATGTAAGCCTTGCGAGCAATCATCTTTCCTTGGGTCAGGGTTCCGGTCTTGTCTGAACAGATGTTGGTTACGCCACCGACTGCCTCAAGAGCTTGCATTTTGCGTACAATGACATGGCCTTTCGCCATGGTCTTTGTGCCGACAGCCATAGTGATCGTCAAGACAGCGATAAGAGATTCAGGGATGACAGCGACAGCGACACAGATACCATAGATAAGGACCTCATCGGTGATTTTCCACTATGATAGTGATTAGTTTAAAGATTCAACTTAGAAGGGAAGGTGTAGAGGCTTACCTTAGCCGCAGAGAACACAATGATAGCCAGTAAGATAGCAAAGCCAAACAAAAGAAGGGCGAACTTGCTCAACTTGACTTGAAGGGGGGTCCCAACAAGACCAAGGATGTTCTTTCCTCCACGCTTGAACTTTCCAAAAGCTTTTCCGAAGAAGCCCTTTCCAGCGTCCTCGTCATGCTTTCCTCTCAGGAGTTCGGCGATTTTTCCAACTTCGGAATTCATACCAGTAGCAACCGCAATACCAACAGCACGTCCCTTGGAGACGGTGGATGAGGCGTAAGCCATGTTGGTACGATCTCCAAGGGGGAAATC